CTATATTTGCATATGCATCCTTAGAATCTCTACTATGCTTCATCCACACTCCCAAATGTCTGCCCATATTTCTAACTCTTTTAAAGCCACAAATCCTTGAGATTTCCTCTGCTTCTTTTTCAAGAGTATTCTTGGAGAGAAAAAATACTTATTTTTTGTTGACTTACTTTCTGCCCTAAAATTTTACCAAATAAATGCAAGCACTTTAACACAGTTCGGATTTGATGAGGGCTAGCTTCAGAAACAACATCAAATCATTCGCAAATATCAAGTGAGATTTTTCTAGACCCCTACTTCCTACCTTTATCGACTTCCATATACCCCCATTTACAACAGTATTTATTATATGGCTGGGTTTTTCCATCCCCATAACAAACAGGTATGGTGATGGTGGGTTTCCTTGGTGGATACCACAAGTAGGATCGAACTCATCAGTCATTACCCCATTCCATAAAACACTGAAATTTGCAGTAAAAATTACAGCCATGATGATATAAATCCACGTATCTGATAATTGCAGCTCCTGCATTGTTCTCTTCATGAAAACCAATTCAATCTATCATATGCTTTTTCTAAATCTACTTTAATGGCCATGAATGGTTTTCTGCCTCTCATTCAGTGCATAGAATGAATTAGCTCTTGAACTATGACAATATTATCATGAATAACTCTTTGGAACAAAGCTAGCTTAGATGGGGGATATTATCTTGGCCATTGTGCTCTTCAACCTTTGCGTTACAATCTTGCTTAACAGCTTGTAAATTACTGGGCATAATCATATTGGTCTAAATTGAGGCATATGAGAAGGGTTCTTAATTTTGGGGATAAGCAATATCAGTGTAGCATTAATTATGGCTACTAAATTTGGATATCCCATAAGTTACCAATATGGTGGGATAATTGAAGCTTTATTCTGTTCCAATTAGCTTGGAAAAAGCTAACTGGGGAAACCATCTACACCAGACGTTTTGAAAGGGCCGATGTCAAATAACATGCTTCTAATCTCCTGTTGCGTTGGGGTTTTGGCTAGTATCTCCAAGACCTTAGGTGGAAGTGCTGGCCACATATTTTGGGATGTTAGCCATATTCTGTTAGGGGTATCCTCTGTGAATAAAATTTGGAAGAAATTGCATACCAGGTTTTTAAGCTCTTTAGGCCCAACAATCTATTGGTTGTCATTATTTTTCAACCTCGAAATCTTGATTGCATTTCTGCGAATGATTGTGTTCAAATGATAGAATCTAGTGTTTTTGTTGCCGTCCACAATCTATTATTTCCTAGACTTTTGAAATCAGAGCAATTCCTCCTCTTCCAAGACTCTAGCCAACTGATGTTTCACCTGATCTTCCTTTAATTTCAACCTTGTGGAGTCATTTAGCGTCTTTTGATACTGAATTTTCTCTAAGTCTTTTATTATTCTTTTCTTTCTCCTGTTAATATCCCAAACACTTTTCTTTTCCATTTTCGTAAAGTCAGCACCAACTTGTGAAGCATGTATGGAACATCAAAATCTTTATCCCAGTTATTGTTGAGGAAATGCTAGAAATCAGGGTGTTGTTGCCAAGTTGCAAGGAACTTGAATGGTTTTTTTCCTTTGTGATCTCTGCCAGCATTGAGACTAAGAAGTAAAAGGCTATGATCCGATTGAATTTGAGGCAGGTGAGAGACTTTAACATCATCGAAACCTATTCTCCAATTACGGTTGGCTATAATTTTGTCGGGTCGCTTGTATACTCTAACAAGGTGCCCCCACTTTGGTCCCTGGAAGCCCAAATCTTCTAGATGGCACTCCTCCAATCTATCTTTGAATCGTTGGCATCTTGAGTGGTTAGGTGGTGATCCCTTTTTTTCCTCCCACATAGCTGCAACTTCATTGAAATCCCAACCCACTATCCAAGGTTCTATTACATTTTTGCTGATTGATTTGAAGTCATTCCAAAGGCTATGCCTCTAAGCTTCCCTTGGGCTAGCATAGACGGCTGTACACAGAAAATTCCCCCCATCTTTAAGTGTTAGTTTTGTATAAATCAACTGGTCTGATTGAGTAATTGGCTCCACATGGATTTTGGATGATGATCACATAATCTAAATACCCCCTGCAAACCCTCGAGCTTCTTCTACACATTTGTTGTCAAACCCACATTTCTTTATAATAGTTGATCCTATATTGCTATTGGTTCTCAGTTTCATCAGGACCACACAAGAAATCTGATACTTGCACACCAAATTTTTTAAAACACGACCTACCTCCCTACCAGTAGCTCCTCTAACATTCTAGAAAATAACTGAAATAAATAAATTAGGAATTGTTTACAGGGTTATAGAGTACATGTGCCTCCTCTTCCATGGGCAAACAACTCTCATTTTGCTCTTCATCTACATTTTGAACTTAAACTAGACCATCATGCTCCATTTCTTGAACTATTGGGTCAGGTGGCCTTAGGGCCTGAAGGACATCAATCTTTGTTGACTAATGATTTGCAGCTGAGGAAGCAGGTTTGCCCTTTTGCCTCAACCTCTTTTGGATTGAAAGGACCTCATTCCCGTTGATTGATTTCTGCTCTGAACTCTCTATCCTCTGGTATACTCACCCTCCTATCATATGTGGGCTCCTATTTATCTCGTGAGTTTTATTAGAGCTTGCTTTCACTCCTTCCATTTGGTTCAAGTTACCCTGTTGCTATCTTCCTTGATGGTTTCACAAGTTCCCCCGACTAATTTGTAGCCATAACTAATTTCCACCACATGGTATTTATTCTTCCACTTCTTCTTACCATCATTTTCGGTTGCTCTAGTTTAGGTGTTTCTATCTTCCCCATCATTGTTGTTTCATTCCTGGCCAAATCACCTCTCCAATCTATGTTTTTCATCTCATGTTCACTAGTGTCCCTCGGCACCATTGTGTGCTCATGGCTGAAGAGCTCATCTTCTCCTTTGTACTTTTTCTTGCTTCTTTTGAGGATATCAATTCCCTTTGGTGAGATTTCACTTCCTGCTTCCGTCGACATGCGACACCGACACGAACCCTAGCAGATCGAATCCTCTTCACAACAACTATACTTTATCTCTTTTACATAAGAATTACTAGTTTAACTTTGAATTTGTTGATCATTTTTGCATGATTTAATTGTTAACCATCACCTTTTGAGTATTTAAAATCATAGTTTCAAGAAATTGATTTTACAGTAGTTAAAACATTTTACAAACAAAATTTTTAAAATCAATTCATTCCCTAGGTCACTTGTACAACATTTGTTTATATTAAAAGTAAAATAAATAAATAAGAGATTTAATGATCATTAAACATATATGAGTGGATAAAATAAATAAGGTTAGTAGGCTTGGCAAAAATGAGCCAACCCGTCGAGTTAGCTCATAACCCGGCTAAAATGATCTGGGTTGTGTTAGGGAAAATGAGTTAATAACTCGAGACAGCCCGACTCGTTTCAGCTCGAAAAAAACCGAGCCAACCCACGGGTCAAATGGGTTGGCTCGCGGGTTATTTTTTTTTTAATGTAAAAGAATAAAAATTAATGAAGGTAAAGTGAAAAGCTGAAACCTAAAATTCCAATTCCAAAGACCCAAACGAAAATACCCTGCAACGAGAGTCAACCCCACTTGACTTCCATCTTTGCTCACCGTCACCAACAACCCAAATGATGTCGATTACTAGCAAGGAGCATGTAGAAATTTAGGTAAAACTACTGACCTGTGTTTTAGATTCGTATTACATCTGTTTTATTAATGACCTGTGTATAATTTTTTTTCAGACTGAGCCACCTGTAGAGTTTTGTGCAAATGTTAATGCAAGAGTTGAATACTTGAATTGGTGGCTGTAGATTTTAAGAGATTTTCTTTCCTACAGAGAAGGTGTTGTTTGGTGGAGTGGATTATTTCTCGAGCTAGAAGGCAGAAGCTACTGCTAGATCTGTATGTGGCTGTCTTTACTCTTTTGCGTCTTGCATTTAGTTTCATCTTCTTTCAATAGAGGATGAGATATATGTTTAATAACTGTCATGATGCAATGGCTTTTTGTAAGAGGTTTGTTTATCCAAATTTGGTCGTAGCTCGAACGTTCAATCCAAAATGGCTAGAAATAAAATCAGCTTTGTAAATGAGAATTTTATTTTTTTCCCATTTTTTCGAGCCAACCCGCGAGCCAACCCTAACCCGGCTCGGGTCGGGTTGGGTTGAGTTTTCTGACTCGTTTATTTTTCGAGCCAACCCTAACCCGACTCGTTTTTTTCGGGTTAAATGCGGGTTGGGTCGGGTTGAGCCGGGTTGTCCCGTTTTGCCAACCCAAGCCATAATTCATTAATATTTAATACATAGTACTGAAAATATTTTGTGGTTACTAGTTAATTTTCCACTAATTCATGAAAAATATATTAAGGAGTTTTTGTAAATGAATAAAAGAAAGATAATAAAAAATTATTTAAAAAATAAGATAAAATAAACCATATGTATCAAAAAATAAATAAAATAAACAATTAAAATTAGGGGAATTTTTTTTTTATATACTTTTTCTGCAAAAATAAAATAAAATTATGCCACGCGTATTAAAGTGAATGAGTTCCACTATTTTTCTTTTCTTCTCTCATTACAATGGAATTTACCCATTTTATTTGAGTGTGGTGGTATGCAGAAATATTTTTGTCTAAAAATTAAGGAAATATTATTCTCCATAACTTCTCTTCTACTCTTTCACTTCAATTTTTCTACCTCATTTTTTTCTTTTTTCTTGTGATGGTGAGATTTATCTATTTTCTCTCTACAACATAAATATAACTAGAATAATAAAACCCAAAAAGTTAACTTCTTTAAAGATTTAAATAAAAAAAAATTAAAAAAACACCGCATAAACTATCCCATCCCAATTAGTCACTGGAGTGGCGTGGGTGAGTAGAATCTAGATAGTTAAGTGGAATTTGTTGTGTAACAGCAATTTGGCATGGAAATTGGTCAAAAAATACGAGGTTCGACGATTCCTCTCCACCGTGGCCATGTCTCGCTGTCGAGAACACCAACGTTGTCGTGCTCTGAAAAGATCATGTTTATTCTAGGAATGGGATTCGTCGGGCAATCGCTTGCACGCAAGCTCCACAACCAAGGATGGTTAGATAACATTATTTCTCATCCATATACTATTAATTTGCTTTTCTTAGTTCAAAGTTCTTACATTTCTATTTCTTATTGGCAGGGTGGTGTCTGGGACTTGCACAACCCTTGTGAAGAAGAAGCAGCTTCAGGACATGGGATTTCATGTTCACCTTTTTTATGCAAACCACCCCGAGTGAGTGAGTCAATCGGTGGTAATTTAGCATGTAAGTTCATTTATTTTATTGTTTTTTAAGCAAATTATGATGTGGGTTGTTAATGGATCAGATGACCAAGTTCGGGATTATACTGGACCTTGTTTTGTCCATCCATGGATGATGTTGAGTAGTAATGTATGACTGCATTGCATCATACATGCTGTGAAAACACTTGAATAATATAATAAGGTTACTTAATATTATGATCTTTGAAGGAATGGAAATCTATTCATGATTAGTTACATAAGCTGTGGTCTTCCTTACGAATAAATATTTAGTGCAGCATCTGAAATTCAGTGCATCTGTCCAATTATCTTGTGACACGTTGTTTTTTGTGCACGTGTCACAAAATGATTGGGCAGATGTAATGAGTTCTGTATTCCTTGGTTACACGTTGTGCTTTCTTTTTATTGGTTCCTTTTTCCTGGCTAGACTTAAAACATAAAGTTGTTTTGCAGACTGAGTATCCTACGAGTACTAAAAAATTACACTCACTTTCTTGTTTCTGTCCACCTATTGTGGACATTGGTGATCCGGTATGATTTTACTCTAACAATTGTTATATGTCTCCATGCTGATTAAATTTTGTTTTATGGGGGTAATCTCTCTCAGTTTCCCCTTTTTACTTATATTTTAATGATTTGTAGACGCTGCAGCATGAAGAACTTATAAGAAGCTCGTTAGTCAATGGAGATCTTCAGTAGCTCTGTTACTTTTCTTCAACTAGTAAGTCTTCGTTGAAATTATTAATGAATTTATTATTGCTGTTTGTTTCATGCACATAATGAAAAAATTACTGTTTCAGTCCTTCATCTTTTTATTTTCCTTTCAAAAAGAAATTGTTTGTGGCCTGGAGTAGCATTATCTATTATATAAATCTTCATACAATACTTCGGTTGTTCAGAGCAACCAACCTTTGATAATCACAAGACATCTTTTCTTGTTTGATTCATGCAATGACTCTTCCTGCTGGCATTAAATTGCAGTGCTACCTAGTGCTGGTTGATGATTGAAAATTCGACTTTCTTATAACGACTCTAAATTCAAAGGCATTGTAAGCTACATGTTCTAAACCAGAAGGGGGATACTTAGAAAATGAGTTTGCTGATAAACTGATGAGGAACAACATATTATTATTATGTACATTTTTTTTTTCTGTTAAATTGATCTTACAAGAAATTCACAGTTTGTTAAATTGGTTAAGCCGGTTTAATCTGTTAACAAAAGTCATAAGCTTAACTATTTGTTCCACAAACAAAAAATAGTTTGATCGTTCAAGTTATAGGATTGGGTTGATTGACCTAAGGTTTATTAGACTCCTTTTAAAGCTAGCAAGAATGATTTCATGTTAATACAAAAAGGTAGAAACATTGTAAACGTAAAAGAAGCTAGCATGATTTAGCATATGTATAAAGATACTAAGATAGGATTCAATTCAGACATTGAGTTTCCACTCTAGTTGTTAACTGATATGCTTCAGACTTAATAAAGCTAGGTTGCCCGACTAGAGTGGAAACTCACCCAAGCAGCAGCACACCACTAGAGTCTCCACTATGATTAACTTTCTAATACATATATCACCCTTTTTTCCAAACTTGCTAGGGGAGAATTTCCAAGAGTGTTAGGAATCTAATGTAGAAGAAACACTCAATAGAATGAAAACCAGAATATTATCGTATAAAGCTGATATCAGACATACTGAAATAGATTACAGTGACTGAAATATGGCAAAAATGAGAGAAAGATAGCCTAGAGTGTTCGAGAGGCTCTAGTCTCTCCCGACTCCTCTCTTTTTTTCCACTCCCTCTCAAATTGTCCATCTCTCCATTCTCCTCTACTAATTTCTCACTCATACCCTTTAATTTCCCACTCGTGCCTACTAACTTCCCAATCATGCCCATTAGTTTCCCACTCATGCCCTTCATGAGTTCTAAATACTATTTTTGGGATATCCTCCTCTCTCATCTGAATTTGATGATAGCTTGCCTTAAGATCTAATTTTGAAAAGATTCTAGAGCCCCCAATTCATCTTACAACTCATCAATTGCGGGGAAAAGAAAACTTTCTAGATATAGTCACTTTGTTTAAGGTCCTGTAGTCAACTCATACTCTTCATCCCCTATCTTTCTTCTTTACCAAAATCACCGGGCTTAAATAAGGACTCACACTCGATCTAATCATTCCGGTGTGAAACATCTAATTGATGATATTTTCAATTTCATTCTTTTGATAATGAGGAATTGAGGATATTTATAAGGTCGGATATTTGGTACAACTTCCCTTTCTTTCAAAGTGATAGCATGATCATGTTCTCTTACCAAAGGCAACCCTTGAGGGGTTTGGAATATGTCTTCAGATTCTTGTACCATTTTCTCTAGCTCCTTCCAGTCCTGCTGCTCCCTTGTGCTGGATTCTCCAGCATTTTCTGTTCAACCTAGAATCCTTACCGTTCATTCTGAGATACTTTAAGAATGGTTTTAAGGGATGCTAGAGACCTGGACAGTTAAGGGTCTTCTCCGATTATAACCTCTCTTTTTTCTATTTCTATTTTCAGAGTTGATTCTCTGAAATTTGCTTTTGACTTCCCCTAAGCTTTTTAACCATTTGAAACCCAGCACAATATCAGCCAGTTCAAACGAAAACAGATCCTGCTGAAGTGTATTTCCTTGCACGGACATGAAAATACCCTTGCAGTCCTCTTGACATTGGATCTTGTGGTCATCCCCCACTTCCACCTGATATGGTGAAGTGTTAGTCACTGCAAGTGCAAACTCCAGTTCCTGCGCAAGCTTCCTTCCAATTAAATTATTTGAAGTTCCACAATCAATAAGGATGATAAATTTCTTCCCTTTTATCTCTCCCCATAGTTTTGACGCCTGTCATTCCCATAATGCTTTGGGATGACAGTTGAAAAAACTTCTCTGACTCCCCTTTATCTCGGGACTCCTACCCTGTTGTTTCTTCATTCTCGTTCTCCTCTCCCACCATAAGCAAATGAAATTGCTTGAACTTGCACACATGCCCAGGATGAAACTTTTCATCACACTTGAAACAAAGGCCTGTTTGCATTTTATCTTGCAGTTCTTCCTGAGGCAGCTTGTAAGATCTGCTGCAATTATTACTACCAGAACCCTCCGTCGTGCGATGCGGTGCTCCCACTATTACGATTTATGGAGCGCACATTAGGCCCATTTGGATTGATGGTGGGTTGAAACCCAACTATTCTGGTCTGCATGGATATTGTAGGTTAAAATGATAATGGCAACAAACCGACCTGACGTACTGGACCCTACTCTCCTGCGTCCTGGAAGATTGGATAGAAAAATAGAAATTCCATTGCCAAATGAACAATCAAGGATGGAAATTCTTAAGATTCATGCTGCTGGGATTGTGTTACGTTTATCTCAGAACAGCCCAACACTTATCTCAGCTAATAAGGAAAATAGAGATCTGGATGTTCATTTGTATTATTCAAATAAAAGATAACACTCTGATACAGAGAATGGTTCATATTGAAGAACAATTACAGTAATCCCCTCCTACAACTCAAATGTAAATCAGTAAAAGGAAAAGATAACAGTGAGACAATTCTAGAGGTCCCACACTCTCCTAAGAGCTCTCATCCATTAATCTTGCCTGCCTCCCCCCTTTCCCCTTGCTGCTCCATATAACTAACTTCATGCCCTTCCACGCATCATTCTGTTACGGGGTATTATTGGGAACTATTGATGACGTGTCAGTATCTGATGGTTGTTCCTCTGTTGCACTTGGGCCTTGTTGGTTTTGGATCCATACTCGCCTGGACTTGTCCCTTGACATTCATGGGTTTGGGCCAAGACACCATAGCTCTTATTTTTTCTGGGTCTGCCTCAACACCTGCAGCAGATACGCAGTGTCCTAGGTACTCAACATGATCTCTGCCAAAACTGCATTTCTTTTTATTAGCCACTAGGTGATGCTGCCTTAACACTCCAAAAATGGTTCTCAAATGACACAGATGGTCCTCCTTGCTACGACTGTAAATTAAAATATCATCGAAGAAGACCAGTGCAAACTTCCTTAGAAAAGGCCTAAGTATGTCATTCATCAATGCCTGAAAGGTTGATGGAGCATTGGTCAACCCAAAAGGCATGACCACATACTCGTAGTGACCTTCATGCGTTCGGAAAGCTGTCTTGGGGATATCTTCCACCCTCATTCTGATTTGGTGATACCCAGCTTTCAAATCCAGCTTTGAATAAAATCGTGACCCCCCCCAACTCATCAAGGAGTTCGTCCACCATAAGCATGGGAAACTTGTCAGGAATGGTGATTTTGTTCAGAGCTCTATAATCGACACAAACACGCCAACTCCCATCCTTTTTCTTAACCAGAATAACTGGACTCGAGTAAGGACTCGTGCTATGTCGTACCATGCCATTTTTAAATAATTCAGACACCAAAATTTCAATCTCAGTTTTCTGGTAATGTGGGTACCTGAATGGACGAATATTGGGCACCTGGCTCCCTGATTTGAGATGGATGGCGTGATCAATAGTTCTAGCTAGTGGTAACTCCTGCGGTTCCTTGAAGATTTCTGTAAATTCTAACAGTAGTTCCTCCATCTCGGCCCACTGTTCCTCTTCCTTTTGAACACCACCTTCTGTTGATTCAACATAGAACCCCTGTGCCTGGTTTTGCAGAGCCTTAGTGATGGACTTGATTGAAGCCTCTGCTCTAGATAACGATGGATCCCCCTTTATGATAGTTTCCTTCCCTCTTTCCCCATACTTGAGGGTCATCTCCTTGAAATTTGCTTTGATTTTCCCTAGTTGAGTGAGCCATTCTAAACCCAGGACCACATCTGCACTTCCCAATTCGAATAGATACAGATCCTGTTGGATTTGGGTTCCCTGGATGCTGATGTCAACTCCTTGACAAACCCCTGTACAACTAACCTTACACCCATTCCCGATTTCTACTTGATAAGAAGGGGTATGGGCTACTGTTAACCCCAGTTCGTCCACCACTTCCTTCTTGATAAAGTTGCTTGATGCCCCACAATCAACCATAACCACCACTTTTTGCCCTCTGATTTCTCCCCATACCTTGAGTGTTTGGCTTGAAGAGAGCCCTAATAGGCTTTGCAACGATAGTTGCAACGGTTGCTCCCTCTGTTCCACGTCTACCAATGGAGTTACCCCTGCTTCTTCTCCGTCTCTTTTGCCCTCATCTCCGTCTTCTTCATCCATCAACAGTAGATTCAACTGCCGAACCTGGCATCTGTGGTTCGAATGCCATCGATCCCCGCACTTGAAACACAGTCCTTTATTTTGTCTATCGCGCCATTCAGCTGTTGAAAGTCTTCGCATCTGACCAGTATCGCTTACTCCAGAGCGATTTCCGGTCATCAGAGTTCCTGCAGTCGCCGCCACACCGTCATTAGGGTTCCCCGTCTGACCAGGACGCGTATTCGATTGACCCACACTCGATTGACTCGACCCCGTAGGTGACTGAAGGGTGTTACTTCTATTACCCGCTCCTGGGTTTACATGGTTAGCAGCCCATGTTTTATTTTCGTATGGGCCTGAGTTCCTTTGTTGGCCCAATGACAACCGGTTCAACCCGGACGTCCAGTTTTTCCCAAGGGGCCCTAAGCCTTCTTCCTTCCACGCTGCGTTTCTCCTCTCAACCTTGATAGACAGCTTCATCATCTCCGTCAGACTGAGCTCCGGCGACATGAGTAGCTCCTCCCTGATGCTGCTACGTATTCCGTTGAGCCATGCCCCCTTGAGTAGATCTTCGTCTTCGAAACGGAAAGCCCCAACCATCTTCTCGAATTGAGCTCGAAATTCAGTCACCGTCCCATTTTGTTTGACCGTGTATAATGCCCTGTATGGGTTGTCCAGGGCCTCCGATTGGAAACGGCTTAGTATCTCACGTCTGAAGACTCCCCAAGTAGCGTTAGGATGGCTAGCCTCCCACCAATGGAACCAGTGGAGAGCCTCTCCTTCCAAGACGACCAACACGGTGGACAGCTTCTCTGCCTCTGCCACTCCATTCACCACGAAATAGCGTTCTACTTTGCTCAACCATCCGAAGGCATCTTCACCAGAAAAAATTGGAACCTCCAAGCGTCTGTTCATTGGAAAATTCAGGTTAACTCTCCTCCCCTGTCGTCTTCCGTAATGTCCTGAGTCTTCGCCTTCTTCATTCTCTCCATCTCTAGATCGACAACGTCCTTCTGCCGCCATCTCGTCTAATCGTCGGAGAATATCTGTCATCCCCAACTCGTTCGCTCCCAATCTGCGAAGCAATTCTTCATGTCTGGCTTCATTTGCATCAAGCCTTAATAGAACCTCTTCTTGCCTCGCACACCCTCTGCGCAGTCCCTCCTCAATCAAATCCATTCGATGCTCCATTTGTCGCGTTATTACCATTCCACAGAGCTCCTAGATCGGAGCTCTGATACCAATTTGTTACGTTTATCTCAGAACAGCCCAACACTTATCTCAGCTAATAAGGAAAATAGAGATCTGGATGTTCATTTGTATTATTCAAATAAAAGATAACACTCTGATACAGAGAATGGTTCATATTGAAGAACAATTACAGTAATCCCCTCCTACAACTCAAATGTAAATCAGTAAAAGGAAAAGATAACAGTGAGACAATTCTAGAGGTCCCACACTCTCCTAAGAGCTCTCATCCATTAATCTTGCCTGCCTCCCCCCTTTCCCCTTGCTGCTCCATATAACTAACTTCATGCCCTTCCACGCATCATTCTGTTACGGGGTATTATTGGGAACTATTGATTGTCGTGTCAGTATCTGATGGTTGTTCCTCTGTTGCACTTGGGCCTTGTTGGTTTTGGATCCATACTCGCCTGGACTTGTCCCTCTTGTATGTCTTGGGTCTTATTGCATCAGATTGCTAAACATGGTGAAATAGATTAAGAAGCTATTGTGAAGCTTGCTGAGGTAAGTCCATTTTGGATTAGTTTTATTAGCCGGTTGGTGCATGTTTGATGTGTTTTCTGTTGCAAATTGCTCAGGGTTTTAATGGGGCTGATCTTCGAAATGTCTGCACGGAAGCTGGAATGGCAGCAATTCGTGCAGAACGTGACTACGTGATCCATGAAGATTTTATGAAGGTGAGTTCTTTTTTTCTTTGAGGAAGCCATTTTTCTGTGTGTATTAATCATGCACAAAGGGATTACCCCTCCTTGTCACTCACGGGAACAACAATTTGATTTCTTTATCCGTTCCAGGCTGTTCGAAAACTGAACGAGGCAAAGAAACTTGAATCCAGTGCTCACTACAGTGCTGATTTTGGGAAAGACTAAAAGCTATTGTGAAATTTTTCCAGAGCCATGGATATCGAGGCAGTGCATCTTTTAGATTCAGAAATAATTTATACTATTTGATCAACTCAGACCTAAGAATGTAATGGTCCCTTTGGGCTATGCCTTGTTTAATATCTGAATTATGCAGTTGGATGGAGAACTTATCAACCAAACTACGGTGAAGCAAAAGATGTTTAGTCGAGTTGTTTGTCTAAACTCATTTGTAATGGTTTTTTTGTTTCCTTTTGGATTACGTTTTACATAATTCATATTACTTATCTTTGAATTGGGTCTAGACTTTGTACTTCTCCCCCATTTATGGTTGAAGACAGTGTTGAGTCAGTTTGCATAATATTCTTCATCTACTAGTTTGATTTGATATTTAACTATGCTACTGCGTGACACTAATTACTCACAACTAGCAACAAAGTCTAACCTCCTTATAAACCAAATTTGTCAACTTGAAACAGTGTAAAAATAATGTACGAAATTGATGTCTCCCAGATGCACAAGGCAATCAAATTCAACTGTCAAACAGCTGCAAAATTACAGTACATTGTTCACACTTTACACAGGCAAATTGAAATGATCGATTTTGCAACTTAAGAAGTGTCCATTTGTCTAGTGTCTCGTTGTTCATGGGTAAGGAGCATGATGTTCAACTCTCAAGACATTTATCGCTAGCTATCTTGAAATTGTGAATTAGTCGTTTTCCTCATGATGTTGGTATGCTTGGTCCCATTTTCAGATGTTGGTCTCTTGGTTAGTTTGTGTTTCATCATTTTTATAATTTTGAAGAACCAAAATGTACTTACCAGCTGCAAACCCAATCCCATAGCCTGTAACAATGGAATGAATTAAGCAAACGTGACCCAAAAAACAAGGGAAGATTATATTATAGAAAAATGCTTCTTTAAAAAAAATAAAGGGTAAAAAATTGTACCTTTATGAGAAGTGGATTGTTAGCAGAGAAAGTTAGGTAAGTGATGCACGGTCCGACCAACATCCTAGCAAATATAAATATGGCAGCAAATAGAATCTGCGCCATTGTGTCAAACAACTACTGTTGGCTCATTTTGATATAATACAAGTTTAATTATAGAATCTTAACACATTTCATTTTGATTTATTTGATTTTAATTATTAGTCCCCAATCATTTAAAACACAAAACCTAATTCTTATGTTTCAAATACAAATAACATTGATTGTACATGACTTTGTGTGTGTGTGTGTGTCTTGTGGGGGGGGGGGGGGGGGGAGGGGTAGTTAAACAAAAATGTTATAATTATTAAACAGCCCATTATTCCCTTCAGTTATCCAGTGGACAAGGTTTCTTTAGAGCGACACATGTTATTTTTAATTTTTCTTTCAAAATTAATTATGTATATCTTCTTTATAATTTAAATATATATATATATATATATATATATATATATATATGTATGTATATATATTTTTTACATAGATTTTAAAATACCCACACACAATACTCTGATACTTGATAATAAACATAAAACCGTAAGATCCATATTTGAAAATGATAGAGAGTGATTTAGTTATTCAAGTATATTTTCCCACTCAAAATGTAATATATCCTGGCTATAGTTTATACATAACAAGTCACATGCACTAAAAATATAATTTATTATAATTGACGGCTTTAATAGCTCTTTTGTTGTTGCAGATCAAAAAATTTATAGCAACACTTAATTTCATTAGGATACGGTTCCGTATTCTGGATTTTTTTTTTTAATTTCAGGATACGACTCCGTATCCTAGTGTTAATAGGTTTGCTACAACTTTTTTCATCTACAGCAACAGCAGAAACAAGGATCCCATAATTGATACACCTTATCCCCTTAATATTTGAATGCATGTGCATGAGATGTCTGAACATAAAGTATTTTAGCATTTGGGATTTTCATGAGTTTGATTTTAAAGCATAGTTAGTACAAATTTTTTATACAATTTCTCAATCTTGTGTTGATACCAATGTTATTAAACCCAAATTAGTTATCAACTCGATCAGAGTATCTGATCAATGAGTCACTAGTTCAACCAATAAGTCACACTAATTGAACTGCATGACCCAAATAGATATATATAAATTTATATTTTATACTCAAAATTCTTTCATAGTAACTTCTATATTGTCTAGCAAAATCCATAACTATGTCTATCCAAAATTGTCCAAAATTATATATGGCAACAAATGCAAGGACTGGTTTGCGCATCAAGACTTGGCATGGATGACGATATTATCATCTTCAACTAGCCTCCTCTTCAAATGATCAGTTTACTGGATGGGAATTTACTTGGTTTTCATAACTATAGAGCTCTTGCATCTTTGTAATTTATTTTTTCGGGTTTAGGCCCTCCGTAATTAGAGAAAAAATAATTGTCCATTGGGTCATTATAAAAAAACAAAATTAATATTATTTTTCAAATTTCAATTTAGCTCTCCCTCTTGTCTTCTATGCTTTCAAATTTCAATCCAACTTACATAGGATTTTTCACTTTTCATTTCATATTTCATATTTTTTAACTTGAATTGTTTAATTGTGTTTTGTTTTTGTGTGACCGGTATGTGTATTTGTGAATTGAAAATAATGCACTGCAACTTGAAGATTTTGCACTTGGTCCCTGCTTAAAAAAATGACATTATTTTGTTTTAATTTAAAAAAATATACACAACCTAAGTTAATAAAAATCAATCGGGTCACTGATTTTCACCGGATTGTTGCATGATGTAAGGACCCGCACCGTTAATTAAGGAAATTAATTAAATAAATATGAGAATTAGGAAATAATTCCATAATTGACTCTAATAATTATGATAAGGCTTAAATAATATTGGTAAGTGATTAATAATGCTGAAAGTCTCTTTTCTGACGAAAAGTGCAGATACTGGTTCTGCTACTCGGTATAAATGCGTACCGATGAAGTATCCCGAAAAATTATAAAAAATGTGTATATGTCACTAGAATAATATATAGGACTTGTAAAACAAGTTTCAAGTTAAAATATTGAGAACTGGTGCCAAAACTGATACTGGCTATGGAAAAGCGCGTACCGAAAAGGTGCTACGAAAAATAAAATAAAAATATGATAAATCTTAGAAAAATGAGTATGTTCAGAATCCTAAGTTTGGGATTAAAATGCTAAGCGTAGCTAATAGTACTAATACTATATGTTTAAGACTTAAACCTCTATATATATGCATTTTGGCCCAAAACCCTAGGCCATACATTCTGAATACGTGACTCTTTGGTGGCTGGTCAGTGTGTGCACTGTTCCATTGCCTTCTTCCTCCATTCTTGTGAGTTAAGTGGCCATTTCTCCCTTGAACTTTAACTTAAACACTTTGAGCTTGTGTGGACTCTTGGCTTGGATAACTAGCTTGCAAGGTAAGCTTTCGTGTCCTCGGTTTAGCCATTATTTGTTCCACCATGTCCCATGGGGGATGGTTTATATGTATGATGTGTTTTCATGTACTGTTTTATTGAAATGTTATGGAGTTGTTAAGTGCAAAATGCTTATGATATGTATGTGGTGTTTCGCTTAGCCAGGAAGCCATGAGATGGTCCTGGGGGCGCTTACAGCACAGGCGTGTATTGTGTGGGTAATAGACGTATTCCTGCACTTCTCTGATTAGTAGAATAGTTATAACACGCATGACATGATTATCTGCTGCATTGCACTGATTTTGGAACTGATATTGAATTACTGCTTTTAGAACTTATATTGCACATGTAAGTGAGCTTGGGGTGGAAGATCCTTGAGGACCCCTTGTCTTACTGAGATTTCTGTTTAGAGATCTCACCCCACGTTTGGGGCACTTATTTTAGGTTCATGTATGCGGGGGTTGAGACCTCTAGCGGCAGGAGGCCGGAGCTTAGCTGATATTGTTGTTTATATGATGATATGTCTGAATGCTGGATTATGCCTGTTGCCTTATGTTATTAGCTTGTTATGATTATTGTTGCTGCTGTTGAGACTATGTTGTGCTTTGTTGCCTTATTTGGTGAGCATGGGGATTGTCCATGCCACATTGTTTGACTTTGTCTTAGTTAGATGCGAGTTGTAATAATGTATCAGGATATTGTTCGGGCTACGTGTTGTAGTCCCGTGATTTTTAGATACTCACTGTTAACTTATATATTGAGGTATTCCAGTTAGATGTCTATTTGCAATTTACATACAGGCAATGTTTTAGAAATGAATTAAGTAATTCAACTTGGTAATGATAATGACGTCATAATTGAAAAGAAAAAGATATTCCGCATTTTTAATTAAGCGTGGCTTAATACGATGGCATGTTAACAAACCGGGTATACACGGGATGTTACATTTTATGGTATCAGAGCACTTTCTAGGGAAAAGCCTGTATGTATTGCAATAACTTAGGATGCTTTGTTGTGAGTCGTGTATGTGTGTTCTCTCTATTGGGTTTTGCTATGACGATGCATATGTGACCACATTGCATGGGCCTGATTAACTCATTCTTTGTGTAACTTATGCAGAGTCATGGTACTACCTCAGAGGAACTGAGACACTAGCGGGGATCAACCGGATCCTGTCCTGACTGCATTGGCTGAGATGCAGGCGGCTCGACAAGCCGACCAGGAGGCCATGAGAATGGCAAACCAGGCTATGTTGGACACCGTCAGAGAGGCGAACAGGAAAGCCACTGAGGATATATTGGAGGCGAACCGCCTGGCGAACATGACTATGATGAGGGTCATGTTGGAGGAGATGAGGACTGGTCCTGTTGTTGGTCAGTTCCCTTTGCCACCAACACCTCCACCTCCACCTAGTCTGCAGGACGAGAGCCAGAGAAATGTTGAGGGCACTGGTCACCTTACTGGGATGATGGAACCCTATGGGGAGTCTGCTGAGGATTGTTACGTGATTGACCGTCGGCTTAATGCTTTCCGCAAGCATAAGCCACCTACCTTCAATGGATCGTATGATCCTATTGCTGCGGCGAGATGGCTTCAGGCGCTGGACAAGATTTTTCGTGTGATGCAGTGTACTGATCTACAGAAGCTGATATTCGCCACATATATGCTGAAGGGCGATGCACACGAGTGGTGGATGAACACCTCTCATGCTTTTGAGATGCAGGGTCATGCTATGACATGGCCATTCTTCGAGGATTGTTTTCTCAGTCGGTACTTCCCTTATGGTGCGAGGAGAGGAAGCAGGGGGAGTTCGACAGGTTGGTGCAGGGCTCGTTGTCTGTTGACGAGTACCTGGCAAAGGTTAATGAGCTGGTGAAATTTGTACACTTTCGGATGGCTATGCCTACTCTGACTTTTTTGGCTTCTAAGTTCCGTAGGGGACTTAGCGAGGAGATAGTTGTTCCTCTTGCTGGAGCGGCTTCGAGAGATTTTGGGACACTGATGCAACAGTGTCGGGACATCGAGGATGTCTGCATTACGAGTAAGGCCAAGATTGCTGAGACCAAGGGAACTGGTGGTTCCACTTCCTGGAGGGACAGGAAGTTCGCTGGCAAGGACAAAGGGAAGCAGTTGGCGGCTAGGCTAGCGCCAAATCAGTTCAAGAGGACTTCCACTCAGGGGAGTACAACGAGACCTCCTACTCCCAGATGTACGGGATGTGGGAAGGTTCATCTGGGGTCGTGTGCTACCGGTCATACTATATGTTTCCAATGTGGCAAGGAGGGCCACTATGCTAGAGAGTGTCCGTCGTCGACGGCGAGAGCTGCAGCAGTTCGGGCAGTTTCATTACAGATGGTTCCCCTTCCACCTATAGCGGCACCTGTTGTGCCACCTGCCACGGGGCGAGTTTACACTTTGGATCGACAGCAGTCAGACTGAGCTCCGAACCTGGTCAGAAGTACTGTTTCCATTGGTGGATCTTCAGTTGATGTATTGTTTGACTCCGGGGCTACGCATTCCTTCATTGCTACCCGAATTGCTGTGGGGCTTGAGTTGCCCATGTCTGTGCTTTCTCCACCGTTGCGGGTGACCACCGCCACCGGAGAAAAGTGTGATACCTCCACTGTTCATCGCGATGTAGCGTTTCAGTGGGATAGCCTTGAGTTCTCGGTAGATCTGATAGGATTGCCGATGGCCAATCTGGAGATTATTCTGGGCATGGATTGGTTGTCCTGAAATTGTGTGATGATTGACTGTTGCGCCAAGCGAGTTGTGATGTCTCTGTGTGATGCCACAGCCAGTTCCTCGCCTTTTATTTTATTGCTGCAGGTTAGGAGAGCCTTGAGAGCAGGGGCATTTGTTATGTCATGTTGGGAGGTTTGGCGAGTGGGTCACAGGAGGATATCGCTGGCATTCCTGTGGTGAGGGAATTCCTCGACGTGTTTCTTGAGGAGATTCCTGAGTTTCCACCACAGCGAGAGATAGAGTTCTCCATTGATTTTTTGCCTGGTGTGGCGCCTATTTCATTAGCTCCATATCGGATGTCGCCACCAGAGTTGGCCGAGCTGAAGAAGCACATTAAAGATCTTTCGGCGAAAGACTTCATTCGACCGAGTGTGTCTCCATGGGGAGCACCGGTCATCTTTGTGAAAAAGAAATATGGGACCATGCGATTGTGCACCGATTACAGGCAGCTGAACAAGGTGACAATCAAGAACAAGTATCCCCTTCCGCGTATTGATGATCTATTGGATCAGCTGAAGGGCGCTTATGTGTACTCGAAGTTTGATCTCCGGTCCGGATACCATCAGATTCGGGTGAAGCCGGAGGATGTCCCTAAGACCGCATTTCGTTCGAGATACGGTCATTATGAGTATTTGGTGATCCCATTTGGACTCACCAATGCACCCGCAGTGTTCATGGATTACATGAATAAGATTTTTCAGCCGTACCTGGATCAGTTTGTGATCGTCTTCATTGACGATATCTTGATATACTCCAAGACGGAGGAGGAGCATGCTGAGCACTTGAGGATTGTGTTACAAGTGCTGAAGGAGAAAAAGCCTTATGTTAAGCCTTCCAAGTGTGAATTTTGGCTCAAGTCTGTGAAGTTTCTTGGGCATGTGGTTTCTGCTGAGGGAGTTGCAGTGGATCCGAACAAGATTGAGGTCGTGCTTGATTGGGAGAGGTTCAAGACGGTTACCGAAGTGAGGAGTTTTCTGGGTTTGGCAGGTTACTACTGGAGGTTAATCCAGGGATTCTCCATGTTGGTTCTGCCAATGACTCGCCTTACCCGGAAGGAGACTCCATTTGTGTGGACTCACGAGTGTGAGGAATGTTTTCAGGAGTTGAAGGAGAGACTGACTACTGCACCTGTGTTGGTCCTTCCTGATCCTGCTGAGGAAGTTGAGCTTTACACTGACGCCTCCGGAAAGGGGCTCGAATGTGTGTTGATGCAGTTGGGCAAAGTGATTGCCTATGCTTCGAGGCAGTTGAAGCCTCATGAGGAGAACTACCTGACTCATGATTTGGAGTTGGCTGCTATTGTGTTTGCTTTCAAGATTTGGAGGCATCATCTTTATGGCATGAAGTTTGTTGTGTTCAGTGATCACAAGAGCTTGAAGTATTTGTTTGATCAGAAAGAGTTGAACATGAGACAGAGGAGATGAATAGAGTATCTGAAGGACTACGACTTTGAGTTGAAGTACCATCCTGGCAAGGCCAATGTTGTACCTGATGCTTTAAGTCAGAAATCCGTGAGTCTATCCAGTTTGACCATGGGTGACTATGACATCATTGAGCAGTTTCGAGATCTGACGGTGACTTCCTTGTTTGGGGGTGCACTTCTCGAAATGGAAACCATGCAAGTAGAGAACGAGCTCATGGAAAAGATCAAAGAGGCGCAAGTGTAGAGAGGGTGCCTAGATTATGTGAAGAACCAGGACGATGTGTCTTTGAATGAGGATGGATTGTTGACCTTCCAGAAGAGGATTGTGGTTCCTCGAGGTCCTTTGACGGTTGAGGTGATGACAGAAGCTCATAAGGGCCAGTTTACTGTCCACCCTGGTGCTACAAAGATGTACCAGGACTTGAAGATGAATTATTGGTGGTCGGGCATGAAGAAGGACATTGTGGTATATATGTCCAAGTGCTTGGTTTGCCAGAAGGTGAAGATCGAACACCAGAAGCCGTCTGGTAAGCTTCAACCTCTTGAGATTCCGGAATGGAAATGGGAGAGCATTTCCATGGACTTCGTTGTGGTTTGCCGAAGACTCAGGCTGGTTGTAACTCTATCTGGGTCATTGTGGACAGATTGACGAAGTCTGCCCACTTTCTTCCAGTGAAGGTGAGCTTCACTACTGAGCAGTTGGCCAGACTATATGTTCGCGAGATTGTGAGACTTCACGGGGTGCCCGAGAGTATCATCAGTGATAGAGACCCGAAGTTCACATCTCGATTCTGGGAGGCGCTGCAGGAGGCTTTTGGTACGCAACTGAGACTGAGTACAACCTATCACCCTCAGACTGATGGACAGACTGAGCGGACCATCCAGACATTGGAGGACATGTTAAGGGCTTACACATTGGAGCATGGTTCAGCATGGGATAGGTACCTGCCATTGGTTGAGTTTTCGTACAACAACAGTTTCCATGCTAGCCTGGGCATGGCACCCTACGAGGCATTGTATGGTAGAAGGTGTCAGACTCCTACCTGCTGGTCTGAGGTTGGAGATAAGGAGCAATACTGGTTGATATGTTATTTAATGAGTTTGATTATATTAGCAATTTATATAAGATGCTAAACTCTATTAATAATATAATAACACGTCATTGGATATAAATATACAATATTTTTACACTTAAAATGCATTAAAACTAAGTTCTTATCATATTTAGTATGGATCTTAGATGTATAGGTAAGTGTACGCACTTATTTAGCTAGAGTTAGCAGCATTAGACATTTATGTTTAATTTTGTAAAAATACTCTTTTATAATGTTTACTATATAACTAGTAAATAATTAATTCATATAACAATGTACTATATTATGCAAGTAATTAAATGTCAACAGAATAGTAGAATAAACAGTGTATGCTTATTATATAGATAATAATAAGAAAATTATACTCTTATGTTACATAAGATTCATCTCTCATGTTACACTCACATAAAAAGATATGCCTCACTTTTTTTTCTTTTTCCTTTTTTTAAAATTGATGAACCCCACTTAATTTATCTCACAACATAAAATAACTTCTCTTCTATAACATGAGAGAAGTAAAGTCCATAATAATAATAATAATAATAATAATAATAGTTAAAACATATCAATTCATATTAAGACATATTCATATGTTTTATGATTTTAAGTTTTTTTTCTCTTGAGAGTTGTGTACAGGATTCTTGGAAGTTAAGGTAGAAATGAAAGATTTGGTAGGGCTTAAGACTTACATCGGCAGTCAAATTAAGGAGGGTATCCCTGTAACCAAGCTCCTTTAGAAGCTCTCTCATATGCAAGAATGGGCTTGACGTCTCTGATACCCATAATGCCCCTATAATCTCTGACCCACCCTGCACACATTACATATATAGTTCCAAGTTATCATGACATCCCCAATAGAAGAATACCCAAAATAGAGTATTATATAGTTCCAAGAAGAAATTCCCAAAAAAAAAAAGCAAATAGGGAAATTAAGAAAGAGCTACTCCAAGGATTTTCTGGCAATCTTGACAACCAAATATTTTAACCTATCGATACAGCCTTTAGAGAGCAATAATGATGTAAAAAGAGAAAAAATTTCTCGCAGGTCATACATGGAGAGATATGCATTTACGTATTAGTGAAGGTGCGTCTGTCAAATAATGCATGCTACAATTTATGCATGGGTGAAAATGTGTGTGTCACATGGTGAGCATTGCGATTTGCACATGGGAATATGTATATTCAAGTCACGCACGCATAAGATGATGCGCGATTTACAACACGTAACAAACATATATTTGTTTCTAACACACCTCATTATATTATTTTGATAAAATATTTCGATTTTGAATAAATACAATGAGGGCAAATCATTTCTGCATCACAGATACAAAATAAGAGTGGACTTTATATTGGTGTTTCTCTTTCTGAAATGTTTGTGTATGTTTTCAGCCACACATGCAAAAATGATTTTCTGATACAATAAAGAGTTTTCATTTTCACATGAAATAGGTCAAAAGTTGTAAAGTGCAGACTTTTGAGTTGGACTCATTTTTCTTGAATTCATGTCACATTAAAAGATCCTTAGTTTCCTTTCTTTCAATAATTATATGTACCCAATCCTGTTGCTGAAGAAGAAAAAGACTGCTAGAATCTAAATATATAAACAGTCTGAGAGTAAGAAAAAATTCAATTTGAGTGATTAATAATTACCTTTTGATAGCAAAGACCTGCTCCAAGTCCAACAATGCTTACAAAATGGTGGATGATGTTGTCCAGATTAACTCTTTCAGCAAAGAGACAACATACTAAATCATAAACGAGATAAGAAAGGCTCACTGCAAGAACTTGCATCTGCTCAGAGTTCAAATATTCCACTTTTAATAACAAATCTAAACAATTAATTAAAACACCAAAATTTATACCAATGTTGAGGTTTCCCTCAAAACAAAACACACCATAGAAAGTGCATGCAGTAAATCTAGTACCTGTCTATGGGAAGACTTTGAAGCCAAAGGACAAAGTGGACACCTCCAATCTTCAACAGAAAGCATAGCCAATGTTACTGCTAAAGTTGCGTGGATTGTAGAGACAACACGGTTACAAAAATCAAAAGAGCGCTTGGGAAAGATTCTCCTTGCTAAGAGAAAAGTTGTTGTCCAAGAAACAACTCCAACAACAATTGTCTTTGTAATGTTGTCTTCCATTTCTCTATACTATACCAGGATGCCTACTGCAAAATCTGTGTTTTCAAATGAAGTTTCAGCAATTGCATTACTATATAAGCACCCACTATATTAAATTGACGGAAAAAAAATGTGTTATATAAGGGCAAATCTGGCTTCCCAAATTGCGAGGGTAGAAGTGAGAATCGATTGTATATGCAATCTTACCTTGTTTTAAAACTCAAACCCGTGAGCTTTCGTGGGTCACAAGGAGCAACTTTACCTCTTCTATAAGGCTTGCCCTCAAATATGTGCTATACATACAAGAGATGTGTAACATTCCCGTCTCAAAGTTAGTTCGTATTTTCGTAAGTTATATTTTTTCCTGTTTCTATAACTTAATTGAACTGGCTCGAGACGGAGATATTACATTATAACATGGTTCAGAACAAGAGGAAATAATGTTTCTGACGAGGAATTTTAAAAGAATATGCTTGCTTACATCTCAAAGTGTCTCCATTTCACATGAGTGGCAATTTTGTCGAGCAACTAAACTTTCGAAACTGTTAACTCAATATGAATATATCACACGGACAGAGGACCAAAAGAAACAGTAACTTGCATCACTGGCGGACCCAGGTTGGGTCACATGTCGGCAAGTGCGGACATGACATTTTGAATTTTAATTTATTTTTTTTAGTCAGGTTATTATTTGTCTTGGTTTAATATTTATAGTAGGAGTAAATATCATTTTAAGTCCCTAACAAAAAATGTGGTCATCCCCATTTTAGTCCTTTACCAAAAATTAATCTCGAGGAGGTCCCTAAAAAATTTAAAGTAGATCAATTTAATTAAAATCGTGATCCCTCACAAATTCAAAAAAGACCTATATTAATCTCAAAAACACTAAAATAGGTCCACTTTAAATTTCATAGGGACCAGGTGACTCCTTTTTTATAATGAACTAAAGTGGGGACCGAATTTTTTGTTAGGCACCAAAAATGATATTTATTCTTATATTAGTTAGCAACGTAGCAACGTACAGAGATGATTAAAACAACGTAGCAACGCAAATTGATTAGAGAGAAAACTTATTCTTCCTCCCCTGTCACATACCCATTCTCATGATTTCCTATTCTCATGATTTCTTCATCCTTTGTTATGGAAACAACTAGATTATGAGCGGGTTCAAGCGTTAATTTAAAATTTTTTTACAAAAAAAATTCGAGAGCATTGCCCCCGAACCCCGCCACTAAATGTGCGGACATAGAGAAATTTTCTTGGGTCCGGTGACTTGCATTGCATTAACAACTGCCACCAGAAAAAGGGTGTAGCAATGAAGCATCACCGCGTACAGATAAGCATAAGCTGCAGGTCACCAAATTATGCTGCAACTACCACATTTATTATATGTAGGTATGCAAAGATACATAGATAATTAAAACAAACATTTGAAATAGAGTCGGTACTTATATTAATTATGCTATATGCAAAAAAATAAAACAAAATGTATGCTAATATGCTATAACACCATTAGGGAGGACCAAGACCAAACAATAATGGAGATACCGTTGGTTTCTTGCAAGTTTCCCACTTTGAATTGGAAGCATGAAAGTGACTTTTAAGATGCAGAGTTGCAGTAATCTCTGGAAGGAATTGAATAATGTGATTTTTGGTTCAAGTTGCTAATTATGTGGTCAATGTACTTCTGCAGGTTCAACCTATTTATTATATTTCTTGAATTAAGCACACAACAGAGGATTTACATTTAAGCCAAACTAAAATAAGTTGCTAGGCATGATTAATTAATAGATGAAGTAACTTTAAATCGATACTGAAATTGAAAGGTATAATGAAATGTTAAAGGAGATGTTCCATACAAGCTCAAAACATAGGTGGTTTATCCATTAAGACTTTTTACTTTATAACCTCCAGTTCTGATGAATTTGTAGAAATCGATAATCATTTTTTTTTTTTTTTGGAAAGTTTTCCATTTTCATAACTGCTAATATTATTTGAATTTTCTAAATGAGTATAACAGGATATATACATTAGAGAGAGGATATAAAAATACAACAAATTAACCCTAATGGGTGGCACAGCGGTAACTGAGATGTATTCAAAGGAGAAAGGACGAAAGGTCTCTGGTTATTAACCCTAATGGGTGGCAGTGGCCAGTAACTGAGCTGTATTCAATGAGAAAGGACGAAAGGTTTCTCGTTTTAGTCTCATTCAAATGAAGGGAGATATACCTGCAAATAGGCAACAAAATAATTATATATATTTAGAGAGATTATATTTTTTTTTCGGTAAATGAGAGATTATATTTATTAGCAAGTAAGTTTACCACATAAATTATCTCTTTTAAAACTATCAAAAATCAAATCAATAGTTATTATTTAATATAAATTTTCTTTATCTCACATCCTATATTACTTCGATATTTCAAAAGAAAACTTGATGTGTTATATCCGGTATTTTTCAATACTCCAACACGCTTTGTAGAAACTCAAAAAAGAGTTCAAAAATTACGTTGCATTGCATTTTTAGTTTCAACTATTAGATTCATTAGATTATGATTACTATTTTATTGAATAAAATATAAATATTTTGGTTGTCTTATTATTTTTTTTTGCAAAATTGAGGGATATTATAAGTTTAACTTTATTTTTTTGTTAAATTATTAAATATTAAATGTAATATATACCATGTAGCACCGATACCGACACGAGATACGAGACACAATACGACACGACACTCCGACACGTTAATTCTAAAAAAATGTTAGATTTTGACAAGTTAGGACACATTTTGATATTAAATATTATTTTTAATTTATGTAATGTATATTATATTTACTACTCAATAATTTTACAAAAAAATAAAGTTAAACTTATAATACCCATCAATTTTGTAAAGAAACATAAGATATTCAAATATTTATATTAAACTCAATAAAATGGTAATCATAATCCAATGAATCTAAAAATTGGAACTAAAAATGCAACGCAACCTTTGAACCTTTTTTTGAGTCTCTACAATGCATGTTGGAGTGTCAGACACGATACGTCAGGATTTCTGAAATGTCGATACTTCACAGATATATATTAAATAAATTAAAAATATTATTTAATACCAAAATATATCTTAATGTATCAAAATCTAATATTTTTTAATATTAATATATCAAAATATCGTGTCATGTTATGTCTTATGTAAATATCAATGTTTTGGCAACATAGCTCACGGCTTCTCTCGTTTCCTCTTTCGGTCTTTCCATGAGATTCTAATCATATCTAAACGTTAAAAAAAAATAAATAGTAAGAAATAATAAACTTAATTGATGGTATATACATAAAAATTTTATTAATCTTGTGTTACATAAGATAAAATCTATCTTCTATATACATAAATTCAAGATGAATCTCATTTTATTTTCTCTCTCTTTTTCCTTAAAAATAAATCCCAGCATCTACACAAATAAATCTATAAAAAATAATACTTATCTCTTACGAGAAAACTATTATCCATATATAATGCATACTTACTGTTGAAACTTACAATATACTGTTTCTTCAGTCTTAATATAAAGTTATCTCCTATAGAATCAGTAAGTGAGTGAATCTTTTTTCTTTTTCTCACTTTTTTCTCATTAAATCCCTACCTATTTTATGTGTCTGCAGATATAAATCTACATGAAAAATATTAACCCATAAATTATTTGAGAAGGAAGTAGTTAGGTTAGGTGTCTCTTTCTTATTTATTTCTCCCCTGCATGTGTCCCTGTTCAATTTAGTGAGTGAGTTATGGAAGGTGTACGGCGAGATCAGTGAAAGAATCTTCTATAAGAAGTAAGAAGAAATTTTATATATCAACAATTATTAAATTAAAAAAAGAAAATTAATTAAGGTACATCTGTAAAAAAAGGAATATAATTTTAATTTTTTTTATTGGGTGAAATCGTATGCAAACTCCCCTAATCGCCTGAGTCCACATTAATTGAGTCAGCAATGTATTATTAACATTTGTGGTGCAAGAGATATGAGTTTTTTTTTTTTTACTTATAAATGCTTTTACATTTTATATTTTTAAAAGAGAAATTTCATATAATACTAATACATCTATAAATTTATTTTAGTTTTAAAAATAAAAAAATTAATTAATACTTAAAAAGTTCGTATAACTCCATATCGTTTATAAATTAATAATATTTTAATCACTAAAAAAACACTAATTTCAAAGGAAGATAAGTAGATAACATATCAAATATAACATTGTTCTTCTAGAACTTTTATCTTTTTAGATTTCACTTCTTTTAATACCTAAACCTCAAGAATATATACTTAATTTTATTTACATAAAAATGTATCTGTAATTATAGAAGATAAAAATATTAACTCATTATTATGTATTATTGGATAAAAATAATTTAAACACAAATAAGTTGCAGACTTTGACAAATAATTTTTGGTATACTTAATATATATTACTTATAATTTTAAATTTGTAAAATTTTGTATATTTTTTTAGGCATGCATAGTGTACTTGGTCACTTTCAATATATTTGATACTACAATTTTTTTATTATTTCTATATTAGTTAAACTATACAAATAAGTTATATTAAATCATAATTTTACTAAAACTTAAACTTTTATTTGTAATTATTCTCGGTTATTAGAGCATATTTTCAATATTTCTGTAACAGCTATTTTGTGGAACTAATGCACTTAAGATGAAAAATTTAAAGATACAAGAATTTTGATAATAGCAAACAAGGATGAAAAGAAGATTTTAAAAGTGTTATAACTTGCAACAATAAAAAAATATATGAGTAAGACAACTCAACAAGTGTATAATCCATCAAAATATATAAAAAGCTCAAAGAGGATCAAGATTCAAGGTACAATAGAAGAATTTAAGTCCAAGAGTCTACAAGTAGTACATTTATATGACTTCAAGAATGAGTTCAAAAGAAACTTATTTTTCAATGGGTAATAGTTTTTTCACGTAGTAGGAGATAATAATTATCTTCTACTGACTTATTTGTATAAGTGGGGTTCATTTTCAAGGGAAGAGAGAAAAAAAGTAAAGTGGGACTCATCTTGAATTTGTGTGTGTAGGAGATAAGTTTTTTTTATGTAACATAAGAATAATAAATCTCTTTCTCAATATGCATAAACCATGGCATAAAATGCTTGAAAGTAATTTGAAAAACCCATAAAAAAAGGTTCTTGCATGCTCTGGAACTTCAAAATATTTTGCTCAAGTCGTGAACATTTATATAAACTGGTTCGAAGTTGGTTAGAACTAACTTAGGCTTGAATATGCTACATAATTGGCTTCTATGAAGAAAATATCTAAATACTTTACAGGAGCAAAACAAATTCAATTACTATTTTTTTGAGTATGCAAATTCTCTCTTTCCAAAAAAAAATATTCAAATACTTGCTAGCTAGCAAGTATTATAATAGCTAGTAATATTTATATTTTATTAAAAAGTTATATATATACTCATTTGTCATACCTCCAACCACTCTTAATCATTGTTCCCTTGATATTAAAGCTGTTATTGATTGCTCTCATTGTATTAATTAAAGCCATTTATTATTATTCCTACTCACTTTGATCATTAAATTATTATTTTTTGGATATTATATATCGTTTATCTATTAAAGCCATTGTTCCCTTCATAGCTAGTAGTTCGATTCAAGTCGGGTAGGACCACATGGGTGACAAAGATCTCCTTATCAAGTTTTTAATACAACCATGTTCCTAGGCACTCAAACTCGATATTACTGGTTATGTTGGAATAATCTCATACCAATTGATCGTTAAAACCTTTTGAGCTCTATTCTTGTAATATAATCAATACCTCCATGCCTTCAACTTGTATGATCTATATTTGTTCCGTCCTTGTGCCAAAAATGTCCAATCTGATGATTGGTATATTTTTGTTGGATCTGAATGCCTTCTCTCAGACATCTATAGGGGAGATATGATACCTTAGAGATCAGCGGTTACTGTGCACTACAGTAGACGACATAGTCAAGGCGTAAGGTATGTACACAGTGACATGATAGGGTTTAGAATGTCCATACCCTAATTGGCTTAATCCTTTATTTATAGATGTGTTACCTGTCATGAGTGAATTTTTGGGTCTCTTATAAATATTGGGGGTCCAATTCATAATCCATTGCTGTCACACAAGGATTAATATAATTAAAAAATCTTTTGTTAATTTTTCTCTTAGTTGTTTGCCCTTCTTGTGCCTTCTAGAATATAGACATTTATGTCATGCTCATAACATGTACTTTGAGAGTATTTAGCTAATCTTAAACATTTCCTTTTTGTGTACTTGAGTTGAAGTATTGGAAAAGTAAAGTGCCCAAGAATCATAATCTTGGTGTGTAATGGTTTGTTCTAACACCCTTAAAGTTTGATCAATATTGGATAATTGTTGTAGTGATTGTAATTTAGCGTAGGTGTACAGTTGTTATGATCGAATAAGGATAAACTGAATTTGCATTTTCTCTATTTTTTTTATTTTTTTTGGTGGGGGGCATTCTCTTCTATCATTTATTTCTTTTACATAAGAATTTTGTAACACTCTGAGCATATTTAACTTCTAATGATATTTTTGCATGATTTAATTGTTAAGTATCACTTTTGTGTTTATTAAACCTTTGGAGGTCACTTGTTCAATATTTTTTTATTAAATGTAAAAAAAATATGAGACTCGATAATCATTAACTAACCAACCATATGTGAGTGGATAATATAGATGGGGTTCGAAGGATTTTTTTATTTTTATTTTTTTATCTATCCTTAACAAACGATTATTGATGACTACATAGTATTGAAAATATTTCGTGCGTACTTATCAGTTTTTCCGTCAATTTATTAAGGAAGAGATAGAATTATTCTCTACAATATTGGAAACATTGATTCCGAAAATTATTTAAGAAATAAAATAAACGATTAAAAATGAACTTCTTTAAAGATTTAAATTAAAAAAAAAAAAAACTATCCGATCCCAATTCGTCACTGGAGAGGCATGGGTGAGTAGAAAGTTAGAAGGTGGGAATTTGTTGTGTAACAGCAATTTGGCATGGAAATTGGTCAAATACGAGGTTCAGCGATTCCTATCCACCGTGGCCATGTCTCGCTGTCGAGAACCCCAACGTTGTCGTGCTCCCGAAAACGCATGTTTATTCTAGGAATGGGATTCGTGGGGCAATCGTTTGCACGCAAGCTCCACAACCAAGGATGGTTAGATAACATTATTTCTCATCCATATACTATTAATTTTCTTTTCTTAGTTCAAAGTTCTTACAGTTCTATTTTTTATTGGAAGGGTGGTGTCTGGGACTTGCAGAACCCTTGTGAAGAAGAAGCAGCTTCAGGACATGGGATTTCGTGTTCACCTTTTTGATGCAAACCACCCCGAGTGAGTGAGTCTATTGGTGGTAATTTAGCATATGAGTTTATTTATTTATTTTTTATAAGCAAATAATGATGTGGGTTGTTAATGGATTAGATGACCAAGTTCAGGATTATAATGGACCTTGTTTTGTCCATCTATGGATTATATCGAGTAGTAATGTATGTATGCATTGCGTCATACATGATATGAAAACACTTGAATAATATAACAAGGTTAATTTTATGGTATCTGAAGGAATGGAAATCTGTTCATGACTAGTTACATAAGTTGTGGTCTTGGTTACACATTTTGCTTTCTTTTTATGGTTTCTTTTTCCTGGTTAGACTTAAAACATAAAGTTGTTTTGCAGACTGAGTATCCTACGACTACTAAAAAATTACACCCACTTTCTTGTTTCTGTCCCACCTACTGTGGGCATTGGTGATCCGGTATGATTTTACTCTAACAATTGTCATATGTCTCCATGCTGATTGAATTTTGTTTTCTTGGGGTAATCTCTCTCAGCTTCCCTTTTTTACTTATATTTTAATGATTTGTAGATGCTTCAGCATGAAGAACTTATAAGAAGCTCGTTAGTCAATGGAGATCTTCAGTGGCTCTGTTACTTGTCTTCAACTAGTAAGTCTTCGTTGAAATTAGTAATGAATTTATTATTACTGTTTTTTTTTTTTTTTCATGCACATAATGAAAAAATTACTGTTTCACTCTTTCATCTTTTTCTTTTCCTTTCAAAAAGAAAATCTTTTGTGGCCTGGAGTTGCGTTATCTATTGTATAAATCTTCATACAATGTTTTGGTTGTTCAGAGCATGAGACATTTGATAGTCGGAATATATCTTCTTTTCTAGGTTTATTCATGCAATGACTCTTCCTGATGGCATTAAATTGCAGCGCTACCTAGTGCTGGTTGATGATTGAAAATTCGACATTCTTATACAATTCTAAATTCAAACTTCAAAGGCAGTATAAGCTACATGTTTTAAACCAGAAGGGGGATACTTAGAAAATAAGTTTGCTGATAAACTGATAAGGAACATCATATTATTATTATTTACATTTTTTATGTTAAATTGATCTTACAAGAAATTTGCAGTTTGCTCAGTTGGTTAAGCATTTAATCTGTCAAAAACATTCATAAGCTTAACTATTTCTTCCAAAAACAAAAAATAGTTGATCGATTAAGTTCCAGGATTGAGTTGATTGACCTAAGGTCTGTCAGATTACTTTTAAAGCTAGCAATAAAGATTTCATATTAATAAAAAAAATGTAAAAAAATTTTAAACATAAAATAAGCTAGCATGATTTAGTACATGTATAAAATACAAAGATAGGATTCAATTCAGACATTGAGTTGCCACTCTGGTTGATATTTGATATGTGTTGTAAATAATTGTATTGTAATTATTATTATTTTATTAATAATTGTAATTATTTATTTTCATTCTAGAATCTTCTTTGGGTTTAGCCCATTAGGTCATTCAGTCTTTATAAATAGAGAGCTCTTGTACATTTGTAAAGTACAATTTTCACATAATACATTTCTACTTTTCAAGTTGGTATCAAAGCTCTCAATTCTGAGGTCTTTGCTTCTGCGACTGCTGCCTTTAGAGCGGAACTCTATTTGTTTGCCTCTCGCCACCACCAAGATGCTACCGGAAAATTTTTCGGGGACCTTTTGGACCGAGAGGACCTTTGTATAACACTTTTTTTTTTCTACGGACGTTACTGTTCATCGCGGATTGTTAATCGCCGGGAACACTGTTCATCGCCGGAGTCTGAAGTTGTTTGGGTGTGCGTTTGGTTGATTTTGTTGTTGATTTTGTTGCTGTTTTTGTCTCTCTCTTTTTTTGCGTTATGGCCGATTTCGATGGTGATTCGACTGTTACACAGCCTCCACATGTCTCTCCCTATGTGAATATTCAGCAAGGAGAGTTCGAGCAGCTTAAGGCCACTATTGATAATCTGTGTAAGCCATCTGACAGTTCTTTGATCTTGTGTGGTAAGATTATACGTTCTACATCTCTTCTTGCTTCTTGCACTATTTTTAAAACCTCGTAGATTTTTTATTCTGGTGCAACTGATCATATGACTTGTCTTGCTGAATCTTTCTTTCTTATCATCCTACTATTGGTAGTCATACTATAGCCATAGTCGATGGATCTCATAAGTCAGTTATTTGTTCTGCTAACATTCAAATTCAACCTTCCTTGTTTCTTCAAAATGTTCTTTATGTTCTTCAGCTTTCTACTAATCTTATCTCCACTCAAAAGCTTACAACTGATTTGAATTGTTCTATCACATTTTCCCCTTCTCCTTGTGTTATTAAGGATCTTACCACGACGAAGACAATTGGAGTTGCTGAGGAGCAGGGTAGGTTGTATTATCTCCTTCCAGAACATGCTACAAATGATACCAAAAATTAGCTATTGATGACATGTCATCCTTCTACGGCAGAGTCTATGATTTGGCTCCATCAAAAGCGTTTGGGGAACCCACCGTTCAGTCTATCGAAGTCAATGTTTCCTTCTCTATGTCTAAATCAGTTAGTTAAGACCTTTCATTGCGATGTTTGTGAATTTGCAAAACACCATCGAGTGTCCTTTCCTTCTCGTGCTATCAAAAGCATTGAACATTTTTCTCTTATTCATTCTGATGTTTGGGGCCCTTCTAAAATGCATAGTGTTTCAGGTGCAAAGTAGTTTGTTTCTTTTATTGACGATTGTACTCGGGTAACATGGATATTCTTGATAAAAGACAAGTCTGAAGTACCAGAGATATTTATCCGATTTTATCACATGGTCGAGACTCAGTTTGGTAAGAATATTAAAATATTAAGATCTGATAATGGTACTGAGTACGTCAACTAACGTCTGTCGCAATTCATTTCAGATAAAGGTATGATTCATGAGCTCACATGTGTTGATACCCTTCAACAAAACGGGGTTGCTGAAAGAAAAAATCGTCACCTTCTTCAAGTCGCTAGAGCGTTACTCTTCCAGACATTTGTTCCTAGTTCTTATTGGGAAGAAGCCGTGTTAGCTGCAGCTTTTTTGATCAACCGCTTACCTTCACGGGTCCTTAACAATACCCGTCCTATTCATTCCATGACTTCCTTCTTTCCTTCTGTTCCCATTTTGCAAAGTCTTCCGCCACGAGTGTTTCGGTGTGTTGTCTTTGTCCATGTTCATAAACTACATTGCAGTAAATTGGATCCTAGGGCTCTTAAGTGTGTCTTCCTTGTTTATGCCCTTGATAAAAAAGGCTACAAGTGTTATCATCTTCCAAGTCGAATTTTTTTTGTTTGTATAGATGTCACCTTTCATGAATCTAAGTCCTTTTTTCAGAATCCTCATCTTCGGGGGGAGAGCAGTTCTTCAAAAGACTCATCCCCTTCCTTCGTTGAGTCTGGGTCGTCCTTGTCTACTCCTACACCTCTCCCTCCTGTGCTTACTCCTGATGTGTTAGAACCTTCAAGTAACTTAAAGCCAATATCAGCAGCTAGCTGGGAGACTGATATATTTGACTCATACTAGACCAGACCTAGCTTATGTTGTTAATATTGTGAGTCAGTTCATGCATAATCCAAAAGAAAAACACATGTAGGTAGTGGAGAGAATTCTTCAGTACCTTAAAGTCCCTCCTGGTAAAGGACTGATATTCCGGCGCGATGGCAATCTCTCTTTAGAAGTTTATACTAATTCTGATTATGCTAGATCCGTGATTGACCGTCGATCTACCACTGGTTATTGTATGTTCCTTTGTGGTAACTTAGTGACTTGGAGGAATAAGAAACAGGATGTGGTTGCCAAGTCAAGTGCAGAGGTTGAATTTCGAGCTATGGCTCAAGGCATTTGTGAATTATTGTGGTTGAAGATTATACTTGATGATCTTAAAATAAGATATGAAGGACCTATGAAGCTACTTTGTGATAATAAGTCAGCCATTTGTATAGTTCATAATCCAGTTCAACTTGATCAGACTAAGCATATTGAGGTCGACCGTCATTTCATCAAAGAGAAACTAGATAACGAATTGATCGTCACTCCATACATTCATTCTGGGCATCAATTAGCTGATATTCTGACGAAGGGACTTCCCTCAGATAGATTTCAAAAGCTTACTAGCAAGCTCAGAATAATAAATATCTATTCCTCAGCTTGAAAGGGAATGCTGTAGATAATTGTATTGTAATTATTTCTTTTTATTAATAATTGTAATTATTTATTTTTCATTTTAGAATCTTTTTTGGACTTAGCTCATTCAGTCTCTATAAATTGAGAGCTTTTGTACATTTGTAAAATACAATTTTCACATAATACAATCCTACTTTCCAGTTCTTTCTTTTCAAGTATATGCTTCAGACTTTATATGGCTAGGTTTGCCCCACCAGAAGTATGCGTTGCTGGAGCTGCTTAGAAATACTTTTCTAATGCTTTTCAATATCAAATATGATGACAGAGACACTTTCTGTCTGGCAGGCATCTATGGAGACTGTGACGGTGAATTGGTGGATGAGGAGTAAGAGAGTGTAACTAAACAAACCACTTTTTGTGTTCACAGTATCTGCAACTACTCTGTTAATTGGCTCTTAGTTTGTGCGTCATGCTTTGGCAGTTGTCCAACAAACCCAGAAAGTGAGTTGGCTAAATTAAGATTAACATCTGAAGAAGGCTGGTCAAATTTGGCTCACAATCTTGGGATATCACCGCTATTATTTAGACTGGGAGGTATCTATGGTCCTGGTAGAAGGTACTTACCTTTTTATTGTAATTTATCTTTCAAGTAACGTTTCTCTTATCAGTTTCTTTGTCGGATCAGCAAATTTGTCTGAGTTGGATGCCATTACAATTGATTCAAGCCAGTCATTCCAAGGAAATATCATTCAATAAGTAGCATATGAGATATAGACTCTTATCAGGAATTTAAATTATAAATTTGGATTTATGTTTTCATGGCAGGTCGCTCTGTCACTTACCTGTCTATTTAGTATTTTATATTCTCTTTGCTTGAGTAATTCTTTTCTTTCTTTTTTTAGTGCTGTTGATACAATAATCAAGCAGAAGTCCTTGTCAGAAGGTCAGAAGAGGAGAAAGTACCGAAAATATACATCCAGAGTTCATGTTGATGACATCTGTCAGGCACTTATGGCTACTATATATGCACCTCCCCCAAGGTGAGTCTCCACTATGATTACAGTGACTGAAATATGGTAAAAATGAAAGAAACATAGCCTAGAGTGTTTGAGAGGCTCTAGTGTCTCCCGATTCCTCTCTTTATTTCTACTCCCTCTCAGATTGTCCATCTCCCGATTCTGCTCTACTAGTTTCTCATTCATACCCTTTAATTTGCCACCAGTGCCTACTAACTTCCCAATCATGCCATTAGTTTCCCACCCATGCCCTTCATGAGTTCTGAATACTGTTTTTGGGATATTGTCCTCTCTCATCCGAATTTGATGATAGCTTGCCTTAAGATCCAATTTTGGAAAGATTCTAGAGTCCATTTCATCTAACAACTCATCAATTGCAGGGAAAAGAAAAACTTTCTAGCTATAGTTACTGTAAAGAACCTTGAGGTTACCATCCCAAAAGCTAGCTCAAAGGGTGGGAGTGCCCAAGACCTTATAAACTCCACATTAGTTGCACATACAACCAATGTGGGAGACTATATATCTCAACACGCCCCCTCACACGAGAGCCCATTGGGCTTGAAGAGTGGACAATGCAACAGGCCTAGCCTACCTGTGCTAAGAAACGCCACAAGAGAAAGTGGAGAGCTAGCTTTTGGGGTGGTGTATCCCAAGATTCTTTACAGTTACCTTGTTTAAGGCCTGTAATCAACTCATACTTTTCATCCCCTATCTTTTTTCTTTACCAAAATCATCGGATTTGAATAAGGACTAACACTTGATCTAATCATTCCAGTGTGTAGCATCTCATTGATGATATTTTCTATTTCATTCTTTTGATAATGAGGAGTTGAGGATATTTATAAGGTCGGATATTTTGTACAATTGCCCTTTCTTTCAAAGAGATAGCATGATCATGATCTTGTTCTCTTACCAAAGGCAACCCATTGATGGGTTTGGAATATGTCTTCAGATTCTTGCAAAATTTCCTCTAGCTCCTTCCAGTCCTGCAGCTCCCTGGTGCTGGATTCTCTGGCATTTTCTGTTCAACCTAGAATTCTTACCCTTCATTCTGAGATACTTTAAGCATGGCTTTAAGCGATGCTAGAGACCTGGACAGAGAAGGGTCTCCTTGAATTATAAGCTCTATTTTTTCTCTCTTCATCTTCAGAGTTAATTCTCTGAAATTTGCTTTGACGTCGCCTAAGCTTTTTAACCATTCCAAATCCAACACAATATCAGCCCCTCCCAGTTCAAATGAAAACAGATCCTGCTGAAGTGTGATTCCTTGTTAGGAGATGAAAACACCCTTGCAGACCCCCTGACATTGGATCTTGTGGTCATCCCCGACTTCCACCTGATCTGGTGAAGTGTTAGTCACTGCTAACTCCAGTTCCTGTGCAAGCCTTCCTTCCAATAAAATTATTTGAAGTTCCACAGTCGATAAGGATGATAATTTCCTGCCGTTGATCTCTCCCCTTAGTTTTAATGCCTGGTTAGACGTCATTCCTATAATGCTTTGGGATGACATTTGAAAAAACTTCTCCTCAGTCTCCCCTTCATCTCATCTCCTTCCTGGGTGTTTCTTCATTCTCGTTCTCCTCTCCCACCATAAGCAAATGAAATTGCTTGAATTTGCACACATGCCCAGGATGAAACTTTTCATCACACTTGAAACAAAGGCCTCTTTGCATTTTATCTTGCAATTCTTCCTGAGACAGCCTCTAAGATCTGCTGCAATTATTATTACCGGAACTCTCTGTTGTGCGATGTGGTGCTCCCACTATTACGGTTCATGGAGCCCACATTAGGCCCCATTTGGAGTGATGGTGGGTTGAAACCCTACTATTCCGCTATGGGGTTTGGCCTTGGCTAAATTTGGGATTGCTGACCTGTTCGGTTTGGTGTAATCATCCCCTTTTGGCACACGAACTATTTTTCTCCTCTAATACTTGCACTAAATCCATCATTTCAGCTGGTGATTCCAACTTGCAACCCATTCAGCCAAACCCATCTCAACATTTCTTCATCTTCATATATCATTGGTCTGGCTACATGTTTGCATTCTTCGTGATATTCAGATAATAATCTGGTTTTATGAAGGCTCAACAACAATTCGTATGAGTTCTGAGTGAGGGACGGTTGGAATCATCGAATTACCGCCGTGCAAAAGAGCGCCCAAGACACGTTTACAGTGTGTCCCTCCCACCGTTGGAACTAATTCATTGCTCACCCTTCCAATGCTAGCATTATCGTTGGCATCCTTTCGCCCTCAGCTACGGCGTTCACCCTAAAATCACTCAACTTGCTCGATTCATCCATAAGCACTGTCTCCCGAGAAGATTGGAATCTCCAAACGTCTCACGTTCTTCCCTTGTTCTGGGGTAAAAATCTTATCTTTCACTAAGAGCTCCTTGCAACTTATGTAAAATCTCTTCCTGTGTCTCCTCGATAATCTCACATTTATGCTGTGTGTATGACCATTTCACATCTCCCAGATTAGGAGCTTTAATACCAATTTGTTAGGAATCTAACGTAGAAGAAACACTCAATTGAATGAAAACTGAAATATTATTACTACAAAACTGATATCAGACTGTCTGAAACAGATTACAGTGACTAAAATTTGGCAAAATTGAAAGAAAGATAGCCTAGAGCATTCGAGAGGCTCTAGTCTCTCCTATTTCCTCTCTTTAGAATTTTTCTGATGCTTTCCCCCTCTCTATTCCCCACTTTTAATTCCACTCCCTCTCAAATTGTCTATCTGCCCTACTAATTTCTCACTTATACCCATTAATTTTCCACTGCCCATTAATTTCTCACTCATGTCCACTAACTTCACACTCATGCCCATTTATTTCTCACTCATGCTTCTGGACCGCTGTAGGGTATGATTCCCCTTTGGCGCCTCCTATGATAAACCTGAGTTATAGAAGGCTTTCTAACAAAGAGTAAGGCAAACTGGCAGGATTATCAAACAAGATATTTTACCAACCTAGTCCTGCTCTTACGATGAACTGCCTACATGGCTGGGGAAGGAAACACAGATCTTGAATTGTATATTTATTTCAATGCCTTTATATGTCTAGTTGCAGTTATAAAAATAAAACTGTACAATATAAAACAGACGAAGGGTTTGCATGCTCCAATACATGTAGAATATTCTGTCAAATAAAGCAACAATTGTAAACACACATGATGAAGGCATTGACTGAGGCTGTTATCCAACACACAGATCTTAAACTGTAGATTTATTAGAATTTCATCACGAGCATTGTTGAGATATTTAAAAAATCATTAATGTAGCCTCACCCAACAGTTTAAGCTTTTGGGTTGAATTGGTTCTTTACATGGTATCAGAGTCTCAGTGTACCAAGTTCGATCCTCACCGCCCCCCATTTTCTTTGTGGAATTTCTTAGCACAGGTAGGCTGGGCCTGATGCATTATCCACCCTTCAAGTCCAGTGGGCTCTCGTGTGAGGGGGCGTGTTGAGATATATAAAAAATCATTAATGTAGCCTCTCCCAACAACTTAAGCTTTTGGGTTGAATTAGTTCTGTACATGGTATCAGAGCCTTGGTGTACCGGGTTCGATCCTCACCCAGTGGGCTTGAAGAGTGGACAATGCACAGGCGCACCTACTTGTGCGAAGAAAGAAATTCCACTAGAAAGAAAGTGGGGGGCGGTGAGAATCAAATCCGGTACACTGAGGCTCTGATACCATGTAAAGAACCAATTCAACCCAAAAGCTTAAGCTGTTGGGTGAGGCTACATTAATGGTTTTTCATATATCTCAACAAGCATGCAAACCATATTAACTGCTGTTAAAAGTGCTGATAGTTTTGCAAATACACAGGCCTTACTGGAATTTATATAGACAGTATTGTCTTTCCAAATGTTGTATGGTGTATGCTGGTTAATATTTCCTATCTTCTTTTCCATCCTTCTTAGTTGACTGTGAATGTGCACTTACTTCTGAGTCGCATGCATCAGATAAACAAATGGCTTTGGTTCATTGATTGCAGTCTCGGGTATCATATTTTCAGGGAAGTTTACAATATTGTTGATGATGATCCTGCTCCACGAGAAGAAGTATTTGAATATGCAAGAAAATTGGTGGAGAAAAAGTGGCCAGGCTTGAACTTACAACCTTTGGAGCAGAAAGAGTGCTCAGTTGTAAAAACAAGAAATCCAAGGGGTGAGAAGCGAGTGTCTAATGCCCGAATGAAGAAGGAACTGGGAGTGCAGCTACTTTACCCTGATTACATATCAGGATTGCAGAGTATCATTGACCAAATTGAGAGTCCTTTCCAGTGTTATTGACATATTTTGATCAACGCCCCTGCTCAGTATTATGATTCATATCGCGTATGTTTGGCATTACATCGCGGGCAAATGCTATTGCAATACTTCATAATGTTGAACTTGGAAGTTAACACTTCAAAAACCGGAGGATAAATTGTTCTTCCATCTCATAATAAAGCAATCATGGTGGAGTTCTTCCTTTTTCTTCCCTATTTTCTCCTGTATATTGAATCCTGACGTTGTCATAATGAACAATATGAACCTTGCTGCGTTAATTGATAGATGAGTCCCACTTTAAAGTAGAAAACAACACGATGATTTTAGTATATCAATGGTTTGTTAACATTAGTATGTTTATCTTTCTAATTGGAGTACGAACTCCCTAAAAAAACTTCTTTCTCTTCCCTTTCTCGCCATATCACGATATAAAAAGTGAAAAAGAAAATATGAGTAGTTGAGGTACAAGTTACAACCATTCAGTTCTCAGAAACCCAAAAAAAAAAAATAAGTCACCAGCACATAGACTTAAACTTTTTTTCTTTTTCTTTTTTTAAATATATATCCACCGGCAATATGGACTTGACTTCAAAGTATCGGGACAATGATCAAAGTGCCACACTTAGACTTGACTTCAAAGTATCGCGACAATAATCAAAGTGCCACACTTTTTGATAAAATTTACCTGAATGCCACACTTTGTAAAAAAAATGTCAAAATACCACGTTACCTAACTCGCTACAACACCTAGCGAGTTAGGTGTTGACACGTGGCAAAAGGTGCATGGCCACGTAAGCCACTGCGCAGTGCAGCGAGATTACGTGACATCAAACATGTTATGCAGTATAACATGTTTAGTCAGCTTCTGACACGTGACAATTCTGACACGTGGCAAATGTGCTATACAACATAGCATGTTATGTGTGTGTTATGAAATTAATTAACGCTCCTAAAAATAATTAATTAATAGTTATAAAATAATTTTAATTAATTATAATTAGTTAATAGTTATAAAATAATTTAAATTAATTATTTTAGTTTAATTCAGCCTATATTAATTTAAATTATTTTATAACTATTAATTAATTATTTTTAAGAATGTTAATCAATTTTATTTAATTTAGTTTAAGTTATATTAATTTTTTTTGAACCGTTAAGTAATTTAATTTAATTAAGGAGTGTTAATGAATTAAATGTAATTTATGTTTGTTAATTATTTTATTTTAATTCAGTCTATATTAATTTAAATTATTTTATAACTATTAAATAATTATTTTTAGGAGTGTTAATTAATTTCATTTGATTTAATTTAAGTTAAGTTAATTTGTTTTGAACCGTTAAGTAGAGGTGGTAAAGTGGGTGGCCCACCCCACCTCGCCAAAAAAAGAGCCAGCCCCACTTTTGAAAATGGGCTAAAAAACTTGCCCCCTCTCTCGGTTTGGCAGGTTGGGCGGGTTAGCCCTCCAGCCCGAGCTTATTTTACACCGACTCGCCTCAACCCGCCTATGTTCACCACAAAAAATGAGTATGTCCCGTCTCGTTTAGCAGGTGGGGCGGGTTGGCCCGCCGAGCCAAACCCGTTTTGCCGACTCTACCGTTAAGTAATGTAATTTAATTTAAGAGTGTTAATAAATTAAATGTAATTTATGTTTGTTAATTATTTTAATTTAAATTATTTTATGACACACGCGTAACAACTTACGTGGTCATGTACCTTCTGCCATGACTTATATGGCCATATACCTTCTGTCACGTGTCAACACCTAACTAGCCAGGTGTTGTAATGAATAAGATAACATGGCATTTTGAAAAAAACTTTGCAAAGCGTGGCATTCAAGTAATTTTTTGTAAAAAATGTGATAGTTTGGTCATTATCCCTAAAAGCATCAAACTTGAACCCACATTTATCAATAACAATACTTACTGAACCTCTGACAAATGAAAATAACCAATTTCACATACGCCTTCTAATCTCGAGGGCCTTACTCCTTCCACTTGACTAAACTTGAAAAATTATGTTATTTAATATTTATTGAAAAGATAAGAGATAGCTACATAAGTTTCTAGTGTATGATTTTTCAACCTTAATATTTTTCCTAGGGTAGCAGGTAGCATGAAGCATCTTCTTAAGCACATTTGTTTCCTCTGCCTCCTTGTGCTGGTCAGTGCTTTGGCTCAGCATTTACCAAGGGACGTTATAGTCATATAAATCATATGAATCACACCAACCAGATGGAATTTCGGGTCAACAGCCAAAATTAATTAATCTAAAACAATTTAAAATTATCAATAAAATTATACAACATAGAAAATATTAAATTCTATAACATGGTGTTATTACTACCATAATTAGAGGTCTCACAGCAAATGGAACTCAATCTTTATGATATCTTGCCCAAAAGCCTTTCTTCCTGGCAGAATCATTCTCAGACAGAGATCGGCTCCACTTGGACCCAAGTGAAAAGTGCCGCCTCAAGAAAGGTTTTCCAAATGAGCTCCTTGCACTGGAGCTAGGCTGCATCTTTGAATCTTTTCCTCTCCATTCCATATCTTTTTGGCGATCAAAAACATCAAAACCACCATCAAGATAGCTATCAACTACACGGTTTCTGGATATCTTGTGGTTCTTGCCCTTTATCTCTGATTCAGCCCGAAGACCCTTTCTGGACAACTTTGACAAGTGCTTATCTCCAACCATACAAATTGGACAAGCTGGATCATACCTATCTGCCTCTGGTGCGATGGTCTCTAAGCATTCTGCATGATATGCATGACCACAGACCAGTACAGCAACAACTGAGAGGTCACTGCTGGCAGTAAACTTCTGATTGTTCCACGTTGATCTCTCAGTCAAAAGCTTTGAGCAAGCCCCACAAGATTGTAGATCCATGGAGGGAGAATAAGAGAACCTGCTACTGGATCCACTTATCTTGCAACGACCTGATCCAAAACACTCACTATCAAAAGACCACCTTTCTCTTTGAGATGAGGCCACCAGCTCAGAAAAGGTGCGCATGGACCAGCCATCAGATGATCCGCATTGGGATCCAGCTGCCATTTCATTACTGCAAGTGGAGAGTACAAATGATGGCCTTCCTTCAGAAATTGAGTTGTCCGGTGATTTCAGACCCAAGATCCGACTATCAGAAATCTGTCTCAATAGTGGGTGTCCTGGAGATCGATGTGCCCATCTTGTCGGGGTAGAGTTGGGAAGATGATGATAATTATGATTAGGCAAAGGATCAGCTGTAGGCGTTGAGAAAACTGAAGGTATTGAAAATGAAAGATTTGGTATTGAAGATTCTCCCGGCTTCACCTAAAGAGAAATACAGATTAAGAGTGAGCCTAGTACTGCAGTAGAAAGCCTAAAAATCAGATTATGCATCATAAAGCTCATTGTTCCAATTCAGTTGTTCAAAACTAACCACTGTAGAAAAATTGCTTGACATGGACAGATCTGCAACAAGCACATAGAGGAAGAAGAAGGAAAAATCAATGCCAAACAACGAAACAGCAATAGGGAACCAAAGTGCATAAAAGGGAGCATCAGGAAATGAATGTCAAGAAACAATATCTGGGACCATTTAACACCATAAACCAAATTTTAGAACCTTATACTGGACAGGAAAGGGCAAAAGTAAAGACAGTGAACAAGGAAATACAAGATAGAAAGAAGACATGTATGTAAGATAAAATCACTTGTACTTAAGAATGGAACCAAAAAAAAAAAAAATTCAAAAGATATCTAAAAACCCCACCCATTGTGCTAGAAACCTACTGTTTTGTTGTTTACTTAATGTTTATGCGTGGCATTGTTGGAGCTATTTGTATTCATTCCCGTTGCCTTCATGTAAATGTTGCTAAAAACTTTGATTGTTGGATAGGCAATTAGGCATACTCAAAGGGCTTCAATGACAAGGTTGACTAAGTACAGAGGAGTAAATTCTCATGGGATCATTGCTCCACATTGTGCTTATGGTCCTCAATGTTTTAAGTAAGATCCTCTCAAACATTGTGCTTATGGTAAAGGACAAAAGAATAATATAGTTTAGGGTTTAGCATTTACCAGAAGATGGAGTCATCAAATTTGCAACGAATGCCTCATCAACTGGGGACTTTTGAGAAATAGGAGATGCAGAATTTTCCAGGATGCTTCCCCCATCAGATAAATTACCTCTTTCAGAACTCAATGAACCTTTTAACTCCATGCTGATGTTTCTGCTGAGCACATGAGATGTGTGATAGGAGGGATTCTCAATTTCACTAGCAACACGACCCCGACTATCCCACTGAAAGCTCCATGATGGTGAACATACAACATCTCTATGCAAACTTTCACCTCCACTTCTGTTAGGAAGGTCATGATCCTTCGCAGCAACACAACAAGCTGATCCCATGATATCTGCAGACATACATAATGGTCAATCTAAATTGTCTCTCAAAAACTAATTACAAGGTACTATATAGACAAATTCAAGACTTGCTGATAGAAAATTTTAAAAAATAAAATCCAATAATGTAGCCAAAAAAAAAAAAAATAGAAAACTCAAAAGCCACCTCAATTTCCAACTTGAAACTGCAACCTACTTCCTCCTGAAGAATAAAAAAAAAAAAAGGAAAGAAAAGTAAACAAAGATACTTCAAAGCAACCCAGATTTCTCATGCTATAACAAATCTAATTCTTTGAGTATGCCACCACAATATTTAATGATCAAAAAGCATTTCTCTCAATTGCATATACCAATTAGAAATTTAAATATCAAGAACCCCCAAACGGCCTCTATTATGACTCAACCTTGAACACAAAGGCTACTAAAAGTAAAAAGGAGAACGAAGAAGAACTCTAATTTGCTTCAGACCTAAAGTCCGACAAAATATTCAATCATCTTGTAAGAATTTCCATATATGGAACGTGAAGCAGTAATTATGAGCCAGTACATATTGCTAAAAACGATTAAGTGCCACCCACCAAACACCACGAATGTTCACACTCATTAACTTCAAAGCATTAATCAAGAACCAATACCGAGAATTTCGAATTTATTTCATTTTTTAAATAAAAAAGTAATTACTTCAAAAATCCATGAAACTCTACAAAAAATTAAAATTAAAATAATTTCTAGGGTTTCTTACTTGTAGTTTCTGTCTATGATTGATTTCATTAACCTAACAGAGAAAAGGAAGATTAAGGATGAAGCACGTGCGAATCTTACTTGGAAACTAGAAGTTGAGAGAAAAGAAGGAAAGCGATTTGGGAGCGGTCATCGTCTTCGAACAATATCGCTGATTAACACAGAAACAGAAAGGGACGGCGCTTTGTATAACGTCGTGTATGTAAAACTGTTGAATGGTCGCGGCAACAGAAACCGTTATGACGGAGTTATAGAAATGGCGACCCTAACCTAAATCCTAATCAGCCATTTCTATTTCTGTGTAACAGTGATTGCGTCTTCTCTTTTTCTCTTTCGCTTCACTTCTTCTTCTGCCTTTACCTTTTCTCTTCTCTTCTCTTCTGTGCGTTACTTACTCTTTAATAAACGTTTTTTCTTTTTTCTTTTTTCTTTTTTTAAAGTGAAAGAAAAAAAAATAAAGAATGCACGTTTTTAACAGTAAGAAGTGGATGAGAATTTCATGCTTTATTTTCCACCACGTGGATAGCACTATAAGCTCACATGAATGCAATTGTCCCTTCATTCTATCTTCTATTAATTTTGGTATGAAATTCATAAATTCTGACCCTGGGGAAACCATTGACTATTAGATGCTTCCATGGTGGTCAATTTGTGCTTTGGTCTTATTACGACTGCGACTATGGCCATTAATACTTACAAACAACTTCAACTTGATATTTTGCACCGAAATATTATTTGTCATGATAATTTATTTCTTTTCTCTTTTGTAAGTCTCATCTATTTTTACTTTTTTTTATGTTACTTAAGACAATGCGATATGTAAAATAATATTTCTATTTTGTAGAAACAATACTTTTAATATTGACCGCGCTCACAAATGATGTGTTTTACTACGTGGCTTGACCTTATTATGTTAAGTCTTTGTTTTAAAATGCAACAAACCTCCTTTTTCTTAAATTTATTAAAAAAAGTTTTAAAATATCTATTAACACTTGCATTGCGCAAAAGGTATGCTGCTTTCATTAATAGATGCTGGCTTCGATGAATATAAATAGTATACGTATAAATTACTATATAATTTCTTACAGAAAAATTTTTAAAGTTATCTATACTTCCTTTTTGTCTTTGATTTTATTTTTCTCAAAATAAAAATATTATTTTATCAAACATAAATAAATATACATAATAAAAATATAAGTTGCATACATTCTTTTCTTTACAATTCTAATCTGGATAAATATTATACAAATACAAGGCTCAAATCAAAGGTTTTCATCATTAAGCAAAGCTCAAAGTCAAAGAAGGCTGCAAAACTCATCTCTCCAAGCTGCATAATATTAAAGACTACATGACAGCAAGCTCCTCAACATTTAATCATGACAGCCATATTACTTTGGCACCAAGGAACCTTTTCCCTCACCATGAAGAAAGGCATCTTCCAAGCAGCACATTACTCCACTATAAATACATGTATTAACCACAAGGTACATCATCTTCTTCTACATAATTGAAACCTGCTTGAACCATAACTGACTTGAGCGTCTTAGTGACTTGCAGGTACACCCCCCATCTTGTTCTGAGTTAAAGCTGCTCCAAACTGCAAGAAGCTCTGACCCAAGGAGGTTCCAGGCCATTTATGTAGAGAAAGATCACATGATCGGTCCAGTTGTAAAAGGCATCTTCCAAGTAGCACATCACTCCACTATAAATACATGTATTAACCACAAGGTACATCATCTTCTTCTACATAATTGAAACCTGCTTGAACCATAACTGACTTGAGCGTCGGAGTGTCTTGTAGGTACACCCCATCTTGTTTCATTGAAGACCCATGGATTAAAGCTGTTCCAAACTGCAAGATGTTCTGACCCAAGAAGGTTTCAGGCCATTTGTGTAGAGAAAAATTACATGATCGGTTGTAAAAACATGTTCCGATCAAATTCCAGATAGTTTCGAATACTCTTTGGTTTTATGCAGTTATAGGACTCTTGCTAATTGCTTTTTTTTTTAAATAAAATAAAAAATACAAAATACAAAAATGGGATAAGCCTGGTAGGCCTAAACTTTTTCACCAAGCCCAAAACAACCCAAGTTTATTTTAGCCTAACACTAAAAGACCGGTTGCAATTTGGGCCTCAGTTTTTTGGGTTTATTTTCCATTTCCTCCAAGTTGAATGATTCGAGCCGGGTAGTCTGATAATCAATTTTCGATGATATCGATGAAATGCCGTACGAAAATTAATTCTCGTAAACTTATTAAAGTACGGGTGATTTAAAACGATTAAGTTAAACAATTATTAGGCAAAATAATAATATAATTATTATATGGGTAAAGTATTTCTCTTGTGACACCTAAAACTAGGGGTGACAATTTGGGTTCGTCCCACCACCGCCAAAAAAGTGGCGAGATGCGTTGACCCACCATTAAATATGGGTTAAAAAAATAAATCTACCACGTTTTATGGTGGGTTGACGGGTCAACCCAACAACCCGTCAATTAAAAAAATTAATTAAATTTCAAAAATAAATTATCTTTTATGAATTTTATAGTATTATTTTGTTTTATTCTACACTTCTCTTAATTCTTTCAGTCTCAATTTTAAATGTATACTAATATTCAGTTAAATATTCGTTAGAAATTCATTTATCTTCATATATAGCTAACATTTATCATAAATAAAATTGTTATTCTTTATTTTTTCTAGGAAGTACTAAGATAAAAAAAAATTGGATATTACAAAAATTTATTGGCAAATGAGATATTACTTAATTGTAAAAAAAAAAAATTATAACCCGGCGTGTCAATGGGATCCAGAGAGACCATGTCTTCATACATAGGATTCCAAGTACCCTGATCAATCGAAAGTTCAATTCTATCTAAACTGTTCATTTGCAAATGATATCCACAGTGCTCACAAATATTCATTTTGGATTGAAACAATTTCTTATAATTTAATCCATAACAATTTTCACATTCTATCCACAAATGCTTGTACTTTTGATTTTCATCGAGATCATTAGAACTTTCTCTTCTAGTGAAATCACTATCATTTGTGTCGTTTGTGCGATTTTTTATACTAGAACTCTCGCTTTCACTACCATTTTTGCCCTTACCACAAATGTTACTAAAAAAGTAACTGTCATTATATTTGACACTATCATCTAAAATGTGACTATCAATAAAGATTTGAGAACGAAGATAACTATCAATGCAACTATTAATGTTATTATTCCAACTAGATTGAGTCCCATACATGTAATGATCATCATCATTCTTAGAGATATTATTCAGATAGCTAGAATTCTTATAACTATAACTAGAAAACAAACTTTCTGGTTCACTTAGAAAAGAATGATGATTGTCAATTTCTAAGATAAAATTTTTTTGGATATTACAAAAATTTATTGGCAAATGAAATATTACTTAATTGTAAAAAAAAAAATTATAACCCAGCGTGTCAACCTACCCCGCGGCAGGTTGAACCCGTTTTGATCCACTCTTAGGCAAGGCGAGTTGAAGTGGGTTGGTGGGTTGAAAACTTCAATCCAACCCGCCCCGTTTTGGCGGGTTGACTTGCCGGGTTCAACCCATATTGCTACATTTACCTAAAATTACATGGTTTTAAATTAATGAAAGGTGTTTTCGTAATTTTAAGGGTATCAATGAAGAGTGTTTTGGAAAAATTATTTGATACAAAAATAAATAAAATTACGAAAATACCCTTTATTTATTCAAAACGACGTAATTTGATGGTCACTAGAGATAACTTATCTTCATTAACTGAAGAAATACTCTACCCTTGTCATATATAGGAAAACTAATAAACTATTGTGTTAATTCCAAAATAATATCGCTTTTTAATTTGGAAAAAAATATAAGATATTTTGAAATATTAATTCCCCAAAACGCTTTACATTTATTTTTGCAAATCTCAATACCATGCTATTTTATAGTTGTAAGAGATATTTTATGAGATATATGATATTATGCTTATATTTTTTTAAGATATTTTATATATTTTTCTTGAACGTCGTTTTATTACAATTTTAATTAACTTTTATCTTTTTTTTTCTCCTTCCACTGTTGGTTGAGATTAACGTGATCAAATGATATTGGAGAAAAATAAATTAAGCAGGCACACAATAAAAAATAAATATAATATCATATCCCCTAATTTTATTTCTTATAACAAGAGAAACACTAAACTCTTATTATACTTTTTTCAAAATCCAATTTTCCCACTGCATTACCAAACTATATTTTGGTATTTTAGTTGGAGTAATAGCCCAAACATAGTATGCGAGTAAACATTTTGTTTCTATTCGACATTCAAGACAAAAAAAATAAAGAGAACGTTTTTTTTTTTTAATAAAATTACAAGGATGAAAAAAGCTTTTTATTTTTTTGGTCTGAAAGAATTTTTCATTATATATTTCTTTTTGTTTCTCATCACTGCCATTTTCATATATGCTAGATTTTCCATTAATTTTCCATTATATTTCAATCAAAGGCAATTAAGAATGACAAATGAAGAGTTTACATCTTTACGACGATATATAAAAAGAAGCACCATTTTCACATTCATAAAAGCACACCCATAACATATATATATATATATATATATATATATATATATTAATATATCAAAAAGCAAAGAAAGCACTCACACCGACATCCATTTTTCAAATAAGTGGACAAAGGTGAGAGTAGTACCACACTATTCAGTCACCTAACAAACAGAAGTACAGAACCATACCACTTTGTCATTTCCCATAAAAGCATATTGCAAGTTCAGCTAATCTATAATATCTTAATAAATATATTAATGCCTCACCCTAGCTAGCTAGGTGCTAATATTTACCCTCGCTCTCAATTATTCATTCCACCACCATGACACTAGTACAAACAAGCATGGACTTAAATATTTTTTTACTTCCCCACAATAATTCACCACTGAAACATGTCAGCAGATGCCATAATTGGTTGGTTAAGGTAGAGCATGTTCATGGGGTTCATGAAATTATCAGCACTTGTTGGATAACAATCCATTCCGGAGAACCCAGCAGTGGTTGTTGTTGTTGTGGTTTTGATGAGGTTGATGATATCATTAAGTGATTGTAACCTTTGGCTAAGTTCAGCCATTTGGGTCCTCAGAATGCAATTCTCTGCCTCAACCCCAATACAGTGCTGGGTGGTGATGTTAACACTTGTGAGGATTTCACTGTTTTCCTTTCTGAGCAGGTCCACTTGGGTATTGAGATCATCAAAGTGCTTCTGCTTTCGCATCCGAGATCTTTTTGCTGATTCACGATTCGATTCCTTTCTCTTCCTTTTCCTTTGATCCATCAGAAGCTGCAAATTTTCCTCAGAGCCAGACATAGTAGTGGATGTGAAGGAGTTTCCACTAGGTGGTGAGGCCATGAGATGAGATCGATGATTATATTTACACCAAAGAAATATTATTTAAAACTTCCAAATCAGAGATCAAAATAGGTTGGAACTTTGAAAATCCTAATTAAGACGCAAGACCCGAGCTAATATATAGAGATAATTATTGTTATTATTATTACTACTAGGTTATATAATCTTAAAATATAAAAGTGCAATGATGGGAGGAGATTTCTGAAAAAACATAGAACCAGTAGAGGAAGACAACAGAGAAAGATTGAACTAAGTGGGTCGTGCGCCTGTGGGAGGAATTTATCATAAACCCGGAACGAAGGATTTCACTGAGAACTGGAGACATGAATGTTAAACATGAATGAAACTAGAGATGTTCAGCATCAAGATTCAAAGGAAGAAGCTTTGAAGACAATAGAACCTCGAATTCCTTCTAAAAAAAGTAAAGGATAATAACCAAATGGGTTATTAGTACCAAAAGCCAAGACAACACTACAAAGGCTAAGATTTAAGGAGGAGGAGGAGAAGAGAGTGTATGGGGTTGGAGAGGAACAGAGGAGAAGAGGAAGTAATGTAGGTAATTGAAGGGCTAATTTATAGAACAAAAAGGTGAAGGAGGACAGAGAGAGAGATGGGGAAAGAAAAGAAGAAAAAAAGAAAAACAGGGGGAAGAAAAGAAAATAAGAATGGAAAAGGCATCGGAATCTCCTCCAATTGAAGGGTTAGGTGGGACATAGAGAGAGAGAGAGAAGAGAGCGATGTGGGGGTGGAGAAAACTTTCACAACAATTCCAGCTGGTGGCGGTGTGTCCTTAATTTATTGCATACAATAAAGGGAAGGCAAATGCTAAACCACCACTCACTCCTTGACAAGTACTAAAATATTTTGGTCAAGTATTCTAGAGGCACTGTATAATTATTGAGTTTTACATGCCTCTTTTGTTTTGTTTTTTTTGTTAAAAAAAATTAGGAATCATTTCATCGATTATTTAATTAAACCGAACAATAAATTTCTTGACTTAATATAATTATATACCCAAAATTCGAACTTTAAATCACTAATTGAGTTAAAATAATTCTTACCGAACCAAACAATGATATCTTAGTTGGCGTTAGGAAATTAAGTAGATAAAGATGAGAGCATGTGTTTGATTTTCTTCAGTACTGTCTTTGAAAGGGGTTTAAAATATTAATTTTGGGTCCCGTCCCGAATCAGACTAATCGCAAAGTGATAAACCGATTAAAATATCTTACAAAAAAAATTCTTACTATTCAACTCTCGTGGTTTATAAACTTACCTTCTTTATATATATATATATATATATATATATATATATATATATATTTCTCGAGTTACTTGAGATAACTTTATATCTAGTCACCCCAAAATTAAGTCATTTTGAATGATAGAAAATTAATTAAGAGTGTTTTCGAGTATTAAGAGAATTAATGAAGGATGTTTCGATATTTTGTTTAGTTATTTATGGGAAAAATGTTTCTGCAGTTAATGCAGATAAGTTATCTGCATTTATTCTCAAAACGACGTCGTTTTGTTATTGAAATCTTAAAAAATTATAAATATAAAGATTATCATAACCCTGAAATAAATTAAAATTATAAAAATATTATGATTTTTGCCTAAAACGACGTCGTATTGGGCTTACTGCAGATAACTTATCTGCATTAACTGCAGAAAAAAGTGAACTCTTTATTAATTATATGAATTTTACCAAAATACCCTTCATTAATTGTCCTAACATCCAAAACGAAAAAATTTTGGGGTGGTCATAAATAAGGTTATATCCAGTGACTTAGAAACAATAAATCATATATATATATAAAGGGAAAAATATTTCTGCAGTTACTGCAGATAAGTTATCTGCATTTATTCTCAAAACGACGTCAATTTAGTATTGAAATCTTAAAAAATTAAAATATAAAGACTATTATAACCCCGAAATAAATTAAAATTACAAAATACCATAATTTTTGCCCTAAAACAACGTGTATTGGGCTTACTGCAGATAACTTATCTGCATTAACTGCTGAAAAAACAAACTCATATATAAAAGGCCAGGTTATATTTATAACTTTTTTTTTATAATTCTTACAACCTCAACTATATACTAGCTGAGGTTGTAAAAATTGTAAACGAACCCTTCTTATATATATAGTTTACATTTCTCTAGCAGCTTGACGTCCAATAGTTAATTATCTACTATATATATAGGTGACAATATTAAATGTAGGAAATCATACTTATACAAAAAGTGAAAGTATTAAATATGTGGAATCATATCATACACATGTTATTGTTGAACGTCAAGTGGCTAGAAAAATAATTATATATGTATATATGATAAAATCAACTTATACTGGTGTAAGAATATTAAGTCTTAATTACTTCAATTTTAACCGTTGATTTCATGTATATAAATACTTATTATTCTTATATCGGTATAAGTTGATTATATCATTTATATATATATATATATATATATATATATATATATATATATATATATATATATATATATATACCGGTGTAAGATTTATTAATCTTACATCACATCTCAATTGTTGATTTCCGTGTATCCAACTGTTATAATTTAGGAAGTCATACAAATTATTAATATTAATTAATCATTAATTAATTACACTACAAATACCAATCGATAATTTTCGTCTATCAACGGTTGAAATGTGGTGTAATACTAACTGTAAGACTTGTTAGCCTTACACTGATGTAAAAAGAACATGTCTCGTATATATATATATATATATATATATATATATATATATATATATATTGACAACAAATTGTAATAGTTAATTTTCGTAAATTTAATCACTGTGAATTCATATGACATTAATTACAAATGAGTGAGCAAAATAAATATGGTATGTGAATTTTTTTTTCTTAATATTTTTAGTAAATTGGGGGGTCAATATACAGTTCATTAGTAAAACCTGTCAACATTTCAAACCCAACAGCCTGAAACCAAACAACAGGGAAAGGTAAGTAGTGGCAAAACAACAAGAACGGCTTCATCGTAAAGAAAGTAGACATAACGACAAAAAAAAGATCATCACGTATCTTTGGTGGGTGTTCAAACTACAAGGTCCAAACAATCGACCTGAATAACAATTTGGTAGGTGCTTCCGCGGTAGTCCGTACATCTCTTCCTTTTAAAACAAAAAGTGATTCTAAAAGAATCCAGAAAATTATTAAATATTTTTAAATATAAATAAAAATAATAAAATTCAATTAAAATCAGAAATAAAACTAAAAATATTTCTTTATTATTTTCCAAAAATGAAGGATGTAAAGTGAATCTCTTGCATTATATTATGGAATATGTACAATTTTCATTATAATATTAAAATAATAAAAATATATGATAATAACTTTATAAAAAATCAATTCACCTAAAAATTTAAGTTGTTGGGTGAAGTCAATGACGGACGCAGGTGGGTGCATTTGTCAGCACCTGCAGACACAAAATTGGGAGAGAGAAAAAATCACATAGGGTGAGTGATTCAAGTCAAGTAAAAAGAAGAGTAAATATCGTTTTAGGTCTCTAACAAAAAATATGGCCTCTATTTTAGTCCTTTACAAAAAAAATTACTCGTCTAGTTCTTAAGAAATTCAAAATGGACCCATTTTAGTCCTTTTAAGGGACTGATTTGGGTCTTTTTTTAATTTGTGAGGGACCACAATTTCAACTAAATGGGTTCATTTTGAATTTCTTAGGGACTAGACGAGTAATTTTTTTTTGTAAAGGACTAAAGTGAAGACCGTGTTTTTTGTTAGGGACCCAAAATGATATTTACTTTAAAAAGAAAAAAAAAGAAAAAGGAAGATTAAAGGAAAAAGGTAAAAATATGTCCAACCAAATCAACCCCTATAATTAAAAACTTAAACCCTAACTCATTGCTTTGTCTCCTTTTTTTTTATAAACCTTATTAGCTCCAAATCCTAATAAACATCAACATTCCTGAAATTCAATCTTCATCAAGTGGAGGAGAATCGCACGGGATTTTTCACGTTTTTTGTGAAACAAAAGTGGCCAACTTTGGATCAAATCGACATTGACAAAGGTGAGTTTTTAATCGATTAACTCCTACAATTATACTATATTTTACAAATGTCTTTTTGTGGTGTTTATTTTTTTAATTATCATTATCTATTATTTCCTTAAAACTTTGGTTGATTCACCAAAGCTTTACTTTTGAAGTGGAAGCAAAAATTGGATCATGATCATGATTTTTTTTAAAAAAATCAGGGCCAGCACCCCCGAATTTCCGCCCTAAATGTGCAGACATAAAAAAAATATCCTGGGTCCGCCACTGGGTGAGGTTATATTAATAGTTTTATATAACTCTAACACCCACTTCGCAGGAGAATTTATTAGACTTGAAGAATGAACAATATATCCTAAAAAAAAGTGAGCAATACATAGGTTCACCTACTGACATGAGGCTCTGATACCATATTCCGATCTTATAAGTCGGGATGTCCAACCTAATGGTTGATATGTTTATGTTGGATTTGTGTGCACTCTCTCAGGTATCTATGAGAGAGATAACTTATAGATCAACGGATTATTGTGCATTATAATAAACAGCATAGCCAAAGGGGGATGAGTGCACAGTGACAGCTAAGAGAAAGAGTTTACAATGTATATACCTTATTAGCTTAACCCTTTATTTATAGATGAGTATCTGGTATGAGTGGACTTTTGGGCCTCTCAAGAATATTGGGGGTCCATTTGTTGATTTATTGCTGCCGTAATAGGATTAGTATAATTAAGAAATATTTCCTTCCCTCTTAGCCATTAGCCCTTCTTGGGCCTTCTAGAATGTGAGTCTTTGTCAGGTCCATAACAGTTGCCTCCCGGTTCGGTAGTCTGAGTGTTCAAGCTGGCGGACTGCAATAGTTTTCTTGCATCTCGGATGCTTCTAGGTCCATCCTTAATTGGCATCTTCTTGGCATTCTTGAGTCACTCTACACGCCTTCCTTTTGTGGGGGCTTGAGCCCATTTTTGTGTTGTTGAGTTTGTTCCCGGTCTTTTTTTTGATCTGATAGTTTGAATTCCCCTTTCTTTCTCCTATTTACGGAGTTGGATTCTTTTGCGCTAAAATTAGCCCTGCTTTATTGCCATGACTTTGATTTTGGAATGTCTTTCTTCTCTTGAAGACCCGAGTTTGGCAAGGCAATGTTTGCTTCTTTAATTTTGAGCCCAACTTCTATTGTCGTGACTATTTATCTTGACTTGACTTCTTTATAGAAGAAGTATTGTTTGCAATTGCTTTTATATTTGACTTATTTTGTCGTAACTTAAGCTTGGGAAGGTGATGTTCGCCTTCTTGGCTTTGAGCCTGGTGATGTTTGTCATGGATTTTTTTTTATCTAAGTCCCATTTCTTTGGCGATGACTTTTTCATCTGAGCCTGGCTTAGTTCACCGTGAATTTTTACTTTGTGCCTCGCTTCATTCACGGTTGATTTTTTATCTGAGCTTGGCCTATTGGGTCGCGAGCTTTGTCATTTGACTTCGTTGCCAAAATCTTGATAGGAGACCGACATCATATGTCGATTCTTTCTTATATCAACTTGACTTTGTTGACGCATTCTTAAGTCTGAGCTCGGCTTCGCATACCGTA